GTGGCCCTGGGCTTGAACCTCTGCGGCGTCCTGCAAGGTCCAGGATGAGATACAAAATTTGTTGAAGTAGATGGAGACGGGCCATCATGCTATTAGATTTAATATATAGCTAAGTGAAAAATTGAGAGGGACGTCCAGCACAGCCACGTGGGGCATTCAGAGAGGAAGTTTCTCCGAAATGAGGGAATTGGTGCAGAGGAGGATGGGAGGGGGGTGTCAAAGGACTAAATTTCTTAACATGCTTGGGTTTTACTCAAAATTGCAACACTACAGACTCTGCCAGAATTTCTAGCACAGGTTGAAAAGATAGTGCCAAGTCCATGAGGTCACCAGCGTGGTTAAGAAGTAGAGGCAAGGAAGCAGTGGGAGAAAAGATGGCTTCCTTCAGAAAATGGAATTTTGTCCACATGAGAAAAAGAAAGGGGCCCACAAGGGATATGTAAGCAGACAATAAGAGGAATGAAGCCATTTGAAACACACATCTCTAAAGCTGACAATAAAGAGTTTAACTATATTGGAAGTAGAAACTGACTAAGGAGGAAGTTGGATCATTGGATGAGGATGGAGTTGAAGGATGATAAAGAGATAATGGAGAAACAGAATGAATTCTTTTTAATCTACCTTGACTGCAGAAGACACAAGACAAACGTGTGTGTCCAAAAAGATGTTTTCAGGAAGGGAGTCTGAGAAATCGAAGCAAATTGTGGTGACAAAGTTGGCTTGAGCTTATGGTGCAGTGTGTCGTTTATAGATTATCATACCTGGTGTGCCGGTAAACCTGAGGGCTTCTGATTTGCTGCTTGGACTTCACTATGTGGTCTGGCAGAAAGTATATTGCAATGTATCAGTTGATCTCTGGATGGTTTACAGCAGAACAACATGAATTTCTTACTCTTAGTTATTTAATAATAGCAAGTACAGACTCTTCCCCTCTTTCATTCTGAATTCGGCTGCTGAAATAAAGGAGGCAGAATGAAAAAGAAGCCTGGGTGAATCAGTATATGAAAGGGCTGGTACTGAATGAAAATTCCCGGGGCATATGTTCACCCCTTGAGACATTATTTTGCACCCAGCTTCAGTTAAAAAGAAATGCGTAAATCTAGTTAAAAGGGGAAAGGGAATCTGCCCACGCTTGCTATATCTGTAAAAGTATCTTAAGAATTCCTTTTCACTGAAGAAACATTCAAGAGAAGCATCCACAATACCGCACAGGTTCCTGTAGAAGTGTCACTGTAGCCGGCAGGATCTGCTTGCGTTTTGTCTCCCTTGAAAGAGAACCATCCAGCCACTTGGAGATGAGAGGACTTCCAGAGCATCTCTTGGCCTTCTCTGGTGTGGCGTGTGCTGGATAACTGTGTGATCCATCAAAGTGCTGGAGAGGTTGTGGCTGCAGCGTGAGACCGAGAGTGTATGCCGTATGGATTTGGTAGTCCTCTGTTTGGGTTGGGTAGAGCAGGTTTGGTTTCTTCCCAGATCAACCATCCCTTTTAGAGTGGAACTCAGCTGAGTTCGTCTCATCCTTGTATCGGATACGGATGGTTGTTCTGAGGGCTGGGGAAGCTGGTGATTTTATTAAGCTTGGAGGCATTTCTTGAGTTTTCGGAAGTGAACATTGTTGGGTTTAAACTTAGATTTGAAGCCCTCCATCCTGGCCTGTGACTTCAACAAGATGGCGAGTCTGAAAGCTTTTAGCTATGGTAGAAAACTTTCTCCCCAGAATCAGCAATTTCTGCTACATCTATAGTAAATAATTTAAAACAGACCGTTGCAATTAATCCTATTGTTAGAGCTGCTGCATTTCTAGGCCCAGCCTTGTCAAGTCTCTAATACATGATAATGAGGGCAGGAAAGTATAATTCAATTCCTGTATCTTGAGGATATCCAATTCTCTGTGTTGCAATTGCCCACCCTCTCTGGACTCAGTTGTAACTGAATAAACACAGCCAATAAAAACACGATTACTGAGATGGATGTGGATTGGGAGAGCAGAAATTAGTCTGTTAGTGTCAACAAGTCTTAAAAGAATCACCCTTGATAGCTTTCATTTGAAAGGCAAACAGGAGGAGGGGACATTTTTATAAAAACAATTCCTTTAAAATCTTTTTTAAAGCTGTCTTAGGGAAGAGACGCAGCCTCTTTCCATTATAAATTCTTGCTTAGGGGTAACAGTGGCTGTTAAAAGTCAGTTTCTTAAGTGGCTGTTAAAAGCAGTGTCCTTTTGAAGCTTTTTACAGAACGGAAAGTGTAGGATACCTCCTGCCAGCAGAACTTTCAGTTTTACCCTTCTGGGCATCCCGCTTAGGTTCACACAATCGTCCTTCAGCCTGACCGATTGAGAACAGAAGCGTTGTTAGAATGGCCCGTGGAAATGGTTGAGAGCGTTAATTTTTGCCTATTGAAATGTTACGTGATCTTTATCATCTGCACTGGTTGTTTATAATTTTAGGAGCTGTTGTGAATTGGTCACAGGGTTTCGGCTATTGGGTGGGACAGAAATTCTGGCATTAACAACATTAGTGAGACCTGCAAAAAAAGTTGCCATGTGGAACACACAAACCACCGTTCCAGGAGGCTTCATCTTCCTCTGTGATACGCCATCCCTTGCCCCACGGTGGGTCAGCCCTTCTCGGGAATATTGCCACCTCTGACTTTCCCCCATAGATTGTTTTGCCTTTCTGCACACCTCTGGGTTCTTCCCACCTGAGCCTCTTGGTCCCTCCCTCTTGTGTATGAGTTGGGTCATTTCTGGCTCCGTGCATTTTGGTTCTCGTGCTTGAACACCCGAAATAGAGAGGACCATCGCTTGGCCAATGGTTTGGACCTCAGTGGCTACACGGGGCTGACAAGTTCCCAAGTTTGGGAACAGCACATGACCGTGAGTTTCATGCCTGCTTTGAGCGGCCAGTGGCACATGGGTGGCTATTGCTAAGAAGCGGAACGGTGGACCTGACAGGGCACAGACGCCTTCAGGAATTCAGAGGTTTGCATGGAAGTTCTGCACCTTTGTTTGGCAAGCGGAAGAGACCTTGGAAGGTCAGGCTGCCGTGCGCCAGACACAAGCCAGGGTACTACAGGCACCGATTGTAGCCTGAAGCCTTTTGTGCTGCTACTAAGGCTTTAGTCCAGTTGCGGTCGACTTGTTGATCTCCGACCAATTTGTGGTAGAACAGAAAGGTTTCTGACACCCGATTCTTTAACGATGGCATTGCAGGCTTTTCCTTTCCTCTAAATTAGGCTGCTGCAGCGAAGGAAGCAGGATGGGAAATCCGGAGTGGGCCTGTATGAGAAAGGGCTCAGCTTTGGTCTGAGACGCCCCGCTCTTTAATTCCCAATGCAATGTCCCCACCTGCGTCCCATCGCCAGTCTTTATACCCGGCAGCAGTCCAGGCTCTTTCCACCAATCCATACGATTCACTTCCTTGTTAAACCTTCAAACGGCCATAATATTTTATGGGGAAATGCATTTTGCCAACAAGCACGCACAGTTTGTTTCTCAAGACATCTAATTTGATGAATCAATTTGGCTTTTTTCTTGGTCTTCCAAGTCGGCAGAGTTCAGAATGAAAATGCACTAGTTTTTGTTGAGGCAACACCCAGAAGGCTTTGGGAACTGCTTGAAGCACAGAGGGAAAACACGGCTTCTCTCCGTGTTCTCTGTTTCTGTATTTCACATCCGAAGCTGTATGATCACCTTTAAGTTAGCTAACAAGGCATGGTGTTGTGTTATGCGCCATGGAGGAAGACCCCTTCTCTGGAACTCTCTATGATGCACTGGGACTGTGGAAGGAATCTTGGCTTCAGAGGTCTGGGGAGGTTGCTCATTTGCAGATGGACCAATTTTCACATTGACATGGACAACAGACTCACAGCCAGAGATGTGAACTTGCAATGCATTGGGTGAGAATTCTTGCGGAAGTCTGCATTCCATATCCCAGCCTTTGTTGAGAAATTGGGGTTTCTGCAAATTTCAGTTTTAGCTGCTATACACAAGCCTCGTGAGAAGAAACTTCCAAAGGCTTGCCATGTAGAAACATGACTGTTAGGGAACTCAAGGCCAGTGGCTCACGTTTGAATTTATTAGCTTTAGCTCTTGAAACATGGCATGTTTGTAGAGGTTTTACCTGCTATTGCTTGAGCAGAGTGCAAATCCAGCAAGCGAGCCCTTGTTTGTTCTTACAGTGTAGCATACAGCCCCAATAATGTCTCCCAGGAGGAGACAGGACTGCGAGAGGAGGTTTAAAAGCAAGGACTTGCTAATCTGCATATATGCAGTGAAGTGTTTATCCTTGACGCAAAGATTAATCTCAGCCCAGAAACAGAGAAGCTGGCCATGTCAAACGCTTCCTTACCTGCCCTCAACAGGCACCCGCAGGTTGGCCCAGAGCTCCCGGAGAGGGAATAAGAATGGTGCAGCGCCCCAGCCAGCTCTCCTGCTGGGCACACAGAGCAAACCTGGCCCCGGGGCCCCGCCGGTGGCGATCCTGAGAGGATGCTTGTCCGCAAGCCACGGGGTCGGCTTCTGCGGCCGAACACTCGCACCGGAGAGGCTGGGGCAGCGGGAGCCTTGCGTGCTTGCTGGGGAGGCGGTGGGTCCTGCTCCGCCCGGCGTCTGGAGCAGGCTCAGCGGCTGCCCTCGCCCTGCACAACCCAGCGATAAATGTAATGGGCCTGGGCGGAGAGGAGCTGGCTGCATCTTGCAGGTCAGAGACAGGGCAGTGCTCAGCAGACAGGAGAGCCAAACGGTGAGCGGAGGCGGTGTGGGAGCGGTGCCCACGGTGCTCTGTGCTTCCCTGGCTGCAAGAGCGGCGCGAGCTTCCGGGGCTGCTGGCCGCTGCTCCCCACGCACGCAGCGGAATACTTGCCCAAGGCGCCTGCGGACACCAAAGAAGATCACCCAAGAGCGCATGATGTGTCTTTGTATTTAAAAAAAATCATTAAAAATATACATTTTTTAAAAAAATCAAATGAATCTGGTGTTAACATGTACTTTTTTTTTTTTTTTTAACAGCGCTGCAGGACAGCATCCGACTGGTGTTGAAGACAAGGGGAAAGGTTCTGGTTTCTTTTACGCTGAAGGATGACTTTGAAAGCCGTATAAGTGTTGCCCATCTCGTGCGTTCTCCCCTATCCGTCCATAAACACACTCATTTAGAGGAACTGCCTTCTGGCTGGATTGCGTTTCGTTGAGATTTACAAGGGACGTTTGGCACATGCAGGCTACAAAGAGGAGTTGGACCCACAGGAGCCGCGCAAGTGGTGCCTTGCCGGCATCTTCCGCCAGCTGCTTGCTGCGGTGCGGTCTGGAACCCCAGAGAGGAGGATGCTTTTGGGAGCACAACAAGCGCAGTGGGAACGGAATAGGGATGGCTGCTGATCAGAGCCCACCGGGAGTGACCCGTGCGGGCATCAGGAGAGGCATGATACGGAAGCAAGGGGTTTCGCGGGGGCTAGGAAGGCAGAAGCAGCAGAGGGGGAGAGAGAAGTGCAGGCGAGAACTGTTCCCCTTCTTTTGCGTTTCCCTAATTAACCTGGTTGATAGGAGAAGGGGAGACTAGAGAGGGTTTGCCTTCGATTACATTACAACAGTGCTAGCTAATCCACAGGAAGGGGATGCATCTCCTTGGCTTGAGCGAGGAAAGGGAAAAAAACCCATCGCAGGCTGCTTCCGAAAGCAGCGTTACAAAAGCATTTTTTATTATTTAAAAAATCCCCTTAAATCATATTCCAAAGTGATTAAAATTGTCAGTTTTTGATCATTTTGTGGGTTTTCCTTAGAAAAAAAAAAAACCAAAGCAAGTTCAGCTAGGTCAGCTCTGTGTCTTAACGAGTTGATTGTCTGAAAAAAAAAATAGACATTCACATTTACATCCATTCTACCCTGATAAGAGATTTTTTACCCACAGTTCACTGCACTTGTTATGCATATAGTCATCTGGTTGGGTGGTAGAGGTGGAGGTTCCCCCAAACTCTGCAGGCTACCACGCTTCTGATGCTGCTCTGCTCCTGGCGTCAGACAAAGGAGGAGAATCCTGTGACTGGAGTCCGTGAGCCTGGGGCAGGCTGACCTGTTGGGGTGTATACCCCTCCTGAGCTCTGTGTCGTGATCACAGTCTGGAAGTACGGCTCTGTCTCGCTGGCCACACATTCCTCATACCTGTACGGCACCGGGTGCTTTGTACCCTTCTGCTGCCGTTTCCATGAGTTGTAGTACGTGGGGTCACTCATGTAGTGGTTGACGAAAGAGTGCTTGGGCAGCTCGTCTTCGTAATCTGAATCCGTCACCTGAGGTTGGAGAGAGAAACCGTCAGTGAGAGGATGACGGATGGGTGTCTTTCCCCCAACGGGCTGTTAGGAAAAGTCCTGCACCTTCTCCGCATCTGCCCGGAGCAAAAAGGTAATGTGCAGTCTCTCAGCCTTCCCCAACCTCGTGCCTTCCAGAGACGTTTGGACTGCAACGCCCAGAATTCCCAGTCCATGGCCCTGCTGGATGGGAATTCTGGGAGGGGTGGTCCAAATGCCTCTGAAGGCCTCCAGGTTGGGGAAAGGTGCTCTGCTGAATTGAAACACACAGGATGCTAAGGAACTGCATTATGTATTATGTACATAGCTGGATTGTGTTTTGTTTTATTTATGTAAGCTGTCCTGAGGCTGTGCGATGGGATGGCATACAAATGCTCGAAACAAACAAATAAAATAAATGCACACCATCAATTCTTACTTCGCAGCTGCCACAATGCAGAGGAATCCCGTGTCCGGCCGGGGACAGAGGCCTTGTTTAAGGAGCTACAGTGGCCCGCGACTACGTGGGAACAGAGCGTGTGTGGAACAAGAGCGGGGAAAGCGGTGAAGCAGGTACGGGAACGGCAGGTGGGACGGGGATTACGGCTGCCTGAAAATAGCTAAGGGGAATGCTCTTGACCGTCAAGGCACCCAGGATTGTAAAGTTAATGTACAAAAACCTGAAAGAGCTGCTCATAAAAGTACATAATGTGCTTGATAAGGTACGGCTCCGTGTCTGGAACTGGCATCGGGCTAGTCTGTTTCCATGCAAGCCTTAATCAGGAAATTGATTGAAAATACTGGGCAGAGGTCGGCTCTGGGAATGAAATCCGAGCACACTGTAATCAGCGGTGATTTTTCATCGAAATATTCTAATGGAGATTCAAATAAAGTACATTGGTAAATGATCACATACACGAGATGTGGCAGCGGGAATGTTTAAGGGCGCCTCCCCCCACCCCCGGCATCCGGGATGCGCAAATTTGTTCAGAAATGCTACCAAAAGGAGCAGTGCGGCCTCTGAACTCCTCGCAAAGCAGAAACTGAATCTATTTACGTTCTTGTCCAATTGGACTGCATGCCCCACACCGCCTCGTCTCTGCCTGGGTTCAGCTTTGGACTCCCTCCTTTGTGCTCCTTCCTTTGAAGGTCAGAAAGTGGCTTTTAATGGTGGTGCCATGTACTCACCAAGGACGTTAAATTGTTTGCTTTCTTTCATTGTGTAAGGACTCGGGTCTTTTAGATCTTGCTGTGCGGAATGCCACTATAAACTGGTGGGTTTGGCTGCTTTTTCATTTCTCGGTGGGTGTGAGGTCTCGGCTTTTTCCTGACTTTGCCAGGCTGTGCTTGTTTTGTATTGCATGCCCATACTTTTCTGTGTATTTTGTTATTGCTATTATTAAAATGATCATATGCTGCCTAGACCCCATATGTTCATTTTGGAAATACAAATGAAAGTAGGGCTTTTGTCACGATGCTTCTGGATGGTTCTTTTAATTTCATAGGACAGAAGATAAAAATAAATGCCGACGACAGCTTTTTGATCACACCCTATCTTCTTCTGTAAAAGCTCTCCTCGCTCTCCACTGTTTACATGGTTACACACAGAAAATGGGCTCAGTTCACATGTAATGACAATCCGTGGGTTGTTTCACCGTGGGTTGTTTCACCTGCAGCTTGTCGGGAACAAGTGAGCACACTTCCTCCCACTCGCTTGCCTTTGTTGTTTTGGTAGGTAAGCCAGAGACGCTTCATCGCCATGTGCAATCTTAGATTGTTGCAGGGGAGTGTGAACCCCTGGCTTCTTGTTGTTGGGTCCTCTTCCCACTGCTCTCTCCCACTCTTCATGGCCAGGAGATGCAACACACACAGAGCAAGGTGAAATGAAGCAAGCGCTCTCCTTGCCGAGCACGAAAAACTACTTCCTTACGAAGCGTTACCTGCAGAGACTCCTTGGTGAATGGCCATGATATAGGTGCCTGGGAGCAGGTGCATTGTACGCAGATACGCAGCTTCTGGAAATGTGTGGATCCACCCCAAGCCGGAGGCAGAAGGAGAATACAGATGGTTGTGGAGGATGGATGTGGTCTGCCAGTGCGCCGGTGGGTAAAAGTACCGGTCGACTCGCAAGAAGAGCCCAGATGGTAGATTCCCCAGAGAGGTCCACCAGGCCAAGACCTTTTTATTTAAACGTTATTTTAATTGTTGGTGCTATTTATTGCTTTTAAAATTTTGCCAGGGTGTCTCCACTATTTTATGTATTGGTATGGATTATATTTTTTATGATTGGACGCCGCCCCGAGGCTTTTGCGAATGGGGCGGCATACAAGTTGGCCAAATAAATAATAATAAACAAGATCTTGGGCAGGAGACTTGGAGGGTAAGCCCCTTGTGCACCAAGGAAGGCTTGGATGCAGTTCTGGATGGGCTCACGGTGGCCAAAGATGCCGCCGCCAATTCCGGAGACCACGTGCTCGGTGCTGTCCGCCCTGGGACTCTCGAAGTTGCCATCCTCCCACTGCCCCCCATCATTACACAAATTGCTCCGACGACTGGATTATGCTTTAGAGTGGCCACATTATTTTTAATGATTCAGAACTATTGATGGAAATGCTGCAGGGCCGTTTTCTTCTCTGCCGTGTGGCAGGCGCATTTACCGCAACTGCAGGCTGGTTGCCGAGGCAACCGCCGCGGCCTGCAATTTGATTGGGCGCACGGCTAGATTAGAAATTGACAAGCAAAGGTGCACGGATGCCTGTGAAGCAGCGGAGTAAGAGAAAATGCCTGACAATTTAAAGTATTTTTATTGGTAAGATGAAAGAAACAAACGCTATTAGGGGACAAATTAGGAACTAGTGGGCTAGTTTTACTTTAAGGCTGGCATTACAGGGAATTTAAAAACAGTTGTGGCTGTCAGATTTCCTTTTGAGAAGCGTTGGAGAAAAGGAATTGTGTACATTTATTTATAACTAGCAGTGAAGGGAACAGGCGTGTATATACTCAAGTTCTTCGGAAAGGTTGTAGAGGCAATACGCCCGACTTGGTCGCCTGCCTCAGCCAGCATGGAAGTGGGTAGCCCCTTCCCAAGGCTTTGCTTGCATCCTCTTTCCCGTCGGATTTCTTCCCTCGGGGTGTCCTGCATGGTGGTGGCGGCGGCAAATTCTGCGTTAGGTTGGTGTCGCAGAAGCAAGAAGGCAGCTCACAGTCCTTCTGACCTTCTTAGTCTCGAAGATGCCACTGGACCTCTTGGTGGTTTTCTCTGTGCTTTGCCGAATCCGGCCCTCGGCCAGCCCAAGACCCACCTGTTGGGGGCGAGGGGAGGGCAGTGTCTGCTTCATGCAGAGAAAATTCATGGCACGGGAGTGGTGAACTGGTTTAGGAGAGATTTGTGAAGTAGGGCTCCTCCAACGCTCCTTTCATCCAGCTTTGCTCCCGCTCTTGCTCTCCTCGGCTCTTTCCAGCTGATGAGAATCAACAGTGTGGCTGAAGCCTCATTAAAATTCTCTGTTTATGTTGGAAGGCATCCAGAACTTTCACGCCATCGAGCATTTTGGTCTGAGCAGCCGCGTGACTGCGATCGGGTCATGCGGGGTCACTTATGGGTTCAGGGCAGGACGACACAGGTTTGCTGTACCAAAACTATGCCACCGATCCTGGGGGTGCAGAGGCCACCCGAATGCATGAGGGGATTTTGGAGGGGAGAATAGGTAGACAGAAGGTTACGTGAGTTTCCCCGCCCCTGCTGATTCTCCTTTGAAATGTTCTTCCGAGCCGTTCCTCTGAAATCAGGTTCATTCCTGCCTTCTGAGCCTGGCTGGGGCTGTTAAAAAGGTCCTGGGATGTGTGTGCAGAGGAGAATTTCAGAAGGGGCAAAGGTAAAAACCTTCGCCTGTGAAGTTTCTAATGCAAATACCTTTCTGCTGTTGCCACATAGAACTAAATCAGATACGAGGATACATGTGGGTTTTCTCTCCCTGCCAGTTTGCCGTCAGCCTAGCCTCACCCTCTCCACGTCTCCAGCAGCAGGCTTTCAGATCTATTCTACAGGCAGCATTCAGCCCAAACGATGTTTGTGTGTGGCCCTCCATGTTGTGCTTCGAGGCAGTTCCCTCCTCCCTTAAGGATTTCTCAGAATACCGGGTCTGGAGCAAAGACACCTGTGTATATTTAGGGTGAACTCCGCCTTTGAAAGGCACACCAACAGGGCCAGGAATCAGGCCCAGCCTCTCATGCACACATTGTAAAGTGGAGCATGCGCCAAAGGTCCGAGAACGCCACATCAGAAGTTCACCGGCATGGCTTTATTCTCAACATGGGCAGCCATACGGTACAAGAAGCACAGCCAGAGGAGTCCGTAGTCAGATGCTAAAGCGTGAAGTGATCCCGTGAGCATGCGCCATTGCTAGCCGGGATGTTTTTGCTTTGGCTTTGAATTGGAGGCACTCGCATAATGCAGCTCCAGGTCGGAGCAGTGAGGAGTGTATGGTCGTCCGCCTTCCTCCCTTGGCCCCACGGCTGTATCAGCCTCAGATCGGCCACTGACGTGATGCAGCTGCCAGAAGGGCAAATGCTGTGTTGGGATGCATTAACAGAAGTATCACTTCCAAATCACAAGTAGTAGTAGTTCCTCCTTGCTAGGTCCTCTAGTCAGACCTCACCTGGGATACTGTGTCCAGTTCTGGGCACCAAGATTTAAGAAAGATGCCGGAAAAGTAGAAAGGGTCCAGCGGGGGGCAACGAAAATGATCCAGGGTTTGGAAATGCTGCCCTATGAGGAGAAACTGAGAGAACTGGGCATGTTCAGCCTTGAGAAGAGGAGACTGAGGGGGGACATGGTATCCCTCCATAAGTCCCTCAAAGAGGAAGGTCAAGATCTCTTCTTGCTAATGCCAGAGTGTAGGACATGGAATAATCAGTTCAAGCTGAGACAACCCAGATTCGGGCTGGACATCAGGAAAAGCTTCCTCACTGTCAGCGCAATATGACAGGGGATCCAGCTGCCTGGAGAGGTGGTGGGCTCTTCCACACTGGAGGCATTCAAGGAGAAACTGGGCAGCCCTCTGAGTGGGATAGTGTGATTGCAACAGCAGGGGGTTGGACTCAATGGCCTTCATGCCCCTTCCAGCTCTACTATTCTATGATTCTGTGATTACAGTGCCCAGGCAAAGAGTGAGTGCGTTCAGGCTTTGGAGCCGGTTGCTCCGGCCACGTCATGGGTCAATGGGGATCTGTGGAAACAACCCTCCTTTCCATCTTCGGTGATGCTGCAGCACCTGAAAGCACAAAAACATCAAAGGAAAACGGTATTTGGGATGCTCTTGGGCCTTGGCTCTTCTGGCTTGATGGTATCCTATTCACAAGACGTTCTGTCGGAGAAAAATAACTGCCTGACAAGCTCAAATAGGCGCGGCTGCACAAGGAGAAGCATCTGCTGAGCGGCTTCCTGGAAATCAGAGGGGCAGCTTTCTGCATCATTCTCTTCTTTCCCCATAAAGCTGGAGCGGCTGATACCCTCAAGGAAGCAACAGGGCATCTCTCCGGAAGCCTCCGAAACGAAAGGAGGGAAGACCCCATGACAAAACCGGACAAGGCAAACAGATGTGCCCAAGATCCTTAAAGAGAGAATTGTGTCTTGCTAAAACCTCAGAATGATCAACAAGAACTGGCAGACTTGTAGGCCAACCACTGCTGTGCGAGTCCATTAATATTTCCTCCAAGTGCCTGGAAGCAAGCAGGCGTCAAAGGATCCACGGGAATTGACAGGACGGCAAAGCTCTGAAGGAAAATGGGATTTATTCTGCTTGCCGCAAAACCGGGACTGTGCCTCTGTCAGAAGGCCGCACTTCTTGCGCAGGGAGCTCCGGGTTTCGCACACCTTGACATCAAGGGCAAGGAAAGAGTGTGACGAGAGAACAGATAAAACTCGGCTGACCTCTCTCTGTACTGCCTCTGCAAGCTGGAGGCACCTCAGGCAGAGGATGGTCATTATGCACTATCAGGAACCGGCACGTGGAACGCCTGACTCGAATAACAAAAAGCGACACGGCAGAATTCATCTTTATGCCCAGCACGCTCCTCTAATGTCAGGTTTAATTCCAGGTTGTCACAGAGAGGAGAGCCAAGCCACTGGGAGTGTAATCTCAAGATAATGTGTGTACCTCGCAAGAAACGGCTGGAGAGCAATGCCGCCTCCCTGGCAGCTTGGTCAGAGGGCAACATGGCGCGGCGGGCGGCCCCAGGTAATTAACAAGAGGTAAGCAGGTAACAGGGTGAAAGCTTCTGCAGAAAGGCGAGAGAGACAGCTATCTTCCTGCCTGCCCCGTAGGCTGATCCGGGCTCTTCTTGGATTCTTCTTGCCGAAGAGTTGCGCTTCGACGTGTGGCTTTCTCTGATCTGTGAGCTGAGTTGGATTTCAGAAGAGGTAATGCAGGTCAGAGCAGACATTTCCCACACTGTACACTTTCTGAATGCCCCTTTTAGAGCTCATCGATTACCTTGAACCTAGCCCTGGCCTTCTGCCAACTACACGCATCAGCAGGACAAGCCAGTGAAACTGGAGGAGCAGCGCATCTCGCTCAGCGGAGGAAAAAGTTTGGTGAGAGGCTAAGAGCCTTTCCCCAATGTTATGTTCTGCAAGCAGTTTTGCTCCCATTTGTTCTGTGAATCCCCTGCTGGAAATGGAGGCAAACAACTGGGAAGCGTAAACGAAAACTGAGAGTAACCTCCGAGATGAACATTCTGGTCGCGTAGGAGGAGACTCGTGGTAATTCATGCTTTTCCTCTAGTTTTTCACAACATGTGTTGAAAATTTCCCTGTGTCCTAGGTGGCTTTTTGAGTCTAGTTTTTCTCGTACAGATTCTGCCTCCTTCCCTGCTCTTCACATTGCTTGCCTGGATCAGGTGTTAGGGTCAAGCAGGAGTTGGGGGCTTCTGCTCCAGAACAAGGTCTGCCTAAGCCGCTTTGGTCCAGGCCCCAACCAATCCTTCTGTCCCATCCTCCTCTCCTTAGCGGGGCTTCGGGCACCAGCTGTACATGGCGTTTCATATCCTCACGTTACTCATCTTGGATCCCTGGGTTTGCCACCCTTGGATATAGCCCGACATCCTCTTTGCCAGAACTCTTAATGCCAGGAGAGTCCTTCTTAATATATGAGCCGTGTATCTGAAGCAAGTTAATTATTCCTCCGAGTCTAGGCTCCTCGATACATCGGCCATGCGGAAGGCAGCCTGGATCGACCTGCTCAGAATTCCGAAAACAGAGAAAGCTGGAGGGGTCCCGTGGCAGCTGAATTTCCCCATCACTCGCTTTCCCCATCACTCCCCATCACTCGCTGACACGCCTCGGCCTATTTTGGTGGGGTCTCCTCTTTCCTGGGAATAAAGGGGAAGGGACGGGGTGGGCATGTCCCACCTCTGGCTTCCTTTGCCTGTGGGAAGGAGCCTCAGAGGAGGCAGAGCCGAGGAGGCGCTTTCTGTGTGAGGGGCACAGTGTGCTCTCAGTCTATGACTTGAGAAGAGTTGCCTAATTCAGGGATCGAGCTGTAGGAAAAGCCCGTGACATTCGTGGCCCAAGAGCCGAGGATGGTCCCCAAGAGCAAAGCTGGCTCCACTGCATGGTCACTGGTAACAGCTGCGGAGAAGGAGCTTCATCTGGCAGCCCATGGTCCCCACGCTTAATTTCACTTGGTCGTGCGGCACAAGGGTCCCTTGCGAAGGACCTTTCCATGGAGAAAGAGGTCAGAAGGAGCTGGTGGTGCTCCAGCCTGCCAGAACTTCCTCTGCAAGAGCTTCAGGCCAGGGAAGCTGCAGTAGCAGGAGGACAAACCTGGCGCTCCCTAATCAACGTGTCTGACATTCGCTTTGGTTGATTGTATCTGCGTTTCACACCGTGGCATTTCAGATGCCGAGAGAAACACACGCGTTGTGTCTGGAGGGGAGGGGTCACCGCAGCTTGACAGCCTGAAGCGCTCGAGATAGTATCGTGCTGCGCGGAAAATGGATCAGAGGAGCGGAAAGGAGGTGGCAGTGAGCTTTTCAGACTCGGGCGCAGCCGGGATGGGCTGGGATGGGCTGGGAGGGGCTTGGAGTGGCCTCTGCTTGTTTAGGGTCCATCCAGAAGTGGGCTGTTCAGGTAGTTCACCAAGGCCCCCAGCGCCGAAGGGCCCTGGGGAAATGTGACGGTGACCCTTCAGGGGTGAGATGCCTCGTCGCTTGCAGTCACGCGGATCCCAGTGCCGGGCTGAATCCGTTGGACACTTGTTGATGTCTCAAGTGTCAGGAGTCTGTTTCCACGCAGAGTTAGAACATAAGTTTCCATTGCAACGTGGAAGAAAAAGTAGGACTGTGGAGAAATCTACCCAGGAAAAGCTGTACCCTGCTTATATAATTTTTTCCACAGAGAGTCTTGCCTCCTGCCTGTTTTGTTACGCATTAAGTCTCATGGTCTCAGGCCATTTCAGGATTTTAGATTTCACTCTGTTTTAGCCCACTGTTTTGTTCTGTGCATGTTTGGGTTGTATTACATGTTTGTATTTTTTTTCCACATAAATTGCCCTCTGATTTGTTTTTTTGTTTTTATGAAAGCCAATATAAAAACCTCCTAAGTACGTAAATCGCAAGCAGTGGGCGAGAAGGGATCAAGGTGTTCCATGCTAGAGATCCCGCAGAGAAGCAGGAAAAGGGTGATGTGGTGGAGGGACGGGCCAGCCTCACAGAACTTCCCTTGAGAAGAATCTGTAGGAGTCGCTCCCACGTGTGCCTGAAAGCTTGCTGTGAGCTAGAAGCCCATGCCATATTTTAAAGGAGAAAGTGTGACAAATTCCCGGAGTTGGACAAAAGCCCCAACGTAGTGACTGGTCGGATCCCAGTGCAGCAGCAGAAACGTTGTCTGGACTCTGCAAGAGATCACCCATGGACAACTCCAAGCACCGTGCTCGGTGGAATTCTCTTCCCTTTCTTATTTGAGGTTCTGTCTGCTCGACGACCGAGAGGGTTTCCTGAGCGGTTGGAACTGCTGCTTGCTCACAGGGGAGAGCACCCCACCAAGCTGAGGCTGGCCCCCTGTCTCTCTGTGCCCACCTCCTCTTCTCTGGGTTCTCCCCAGCCCCCTTCTCCTCCCCTCAAGATGCAACACCTGCGCCCCCCCCACCCGGTTTGGCTCCCCACCCAACCTCAGGGCTGCAGACTCACTTCCGATTCCGAAGCGTCCAGGGGTTTCTCGCTGAGCGCAACGCTCTCCGTCAGCACAGCTCCGTTGTACTTGCTGCAGGTGTCTTCATCGGAGTAGTGCAGCCCCCCAGGGCTGGGGCGAGGGGGCGATCTGGGTGCAGGAAAGGAAAGGGAAAGCGTTGTCCTCTATCAGACGGAAAACATGCACTGCAGTCTTGCATACGTGCCTGCGTAATAAAAGCAACCTCTGGGGCACTTCGGGTGGCCGATGTGCGTTTTTAAGGAAATCATACGTTATTTGCACATTCCAGCTGTACAGACTTGAAAAAATGATTTGCAGGGAGATGGAAAGAGGCAGGCAAAAAGAGCACAATTTCATTTTCAAACAATGGCTATATAGGGTGTGTGTGTGAGAGAGAGAGAATGAGGTGATCAAATTGTCCGAGGACTTGGGTGGATCCAACTTGTGGAGCCAACTAGGGTCTAGATTCCTCGGTGCGATTTCAGAGCCCAGCGACATGCGGTTGCGATGGCCGGCGTTGCTCCCACTGGAGGCTTGGCCCAGCTTGATCCCCAGTGAGGCACATCGGCGTATCTCACTCCAAGTGTCCGGAACGAGAGGCGCACCCGGCGAGGGGGACACGCGACGGATGTGTACAGGCCGGGCATGGAGCACGTGTGTCTGCAGAGAGCAATTCTGGATGTGGCTGGGTTGCTGAGCGTTTGTGGATGCTGGAGAGGCGGCACCTGGAGCACAGGCCTTTTCCCGTCTGCCCACTAGATGCCAAACTTTTCACGCTTGCTTGGCCCACAAGTCGCAAGGGTGAAGACACCTTGCGTCTCCCTGGTCCTCTCACCCATAGAAAGCTCGCCATGTGAAGGCTCCCCTGAACCTCTGGGCACCAGGAAGAAGAGGCTTCCTCACCATACAGAGGGGAGAGGGAACAGGGAGTTCTGCCTGTTTTGGCCCACAACACATGTACAGAATTTGTATCGCGAACTCTAAAAGTGACCATTATGGATCCCACAGGCTAGGATGGTTCTGAAAGTGGAGCACATAAGCATGTCAAATACATCACTTGATGCTCAGGACACCTGTCCCCAGCCCCTCCCCGGACTTCCTGCATTTTGCGGGATACTGAAGGCCGAGGCCCCTTGTCCAGGAAGCACGTGGGCTGGGGCTGCCTTACCTCGTCCCATTCTTCTTGGAGAAAGTGTTTTTGAAATTGAGGTGTCGGCTGTTGAGCTCCAGGGCCGTGAAGCCCCCGTTATCCAAAGTGACAGATTCCTCCACGTTGGCCATGCTTTTTCCTGAGGACAAACGGCGACAGAATGAGCGCAGGCAAAGGCCCTGCCCTGGTTCTGCATGAAGAGAGAGAACCACCATTTTCAGATAATCGCCTTTCCTTTTAACAAGGCATTTATTAGAGGATAATGCAGGTTGTCTCAGGGATTTGGCACTGCTCCCTTGTTACAGTAGCACAAAGAAGCAATTTCTGATTCACAGTTTTACAAAAAAAATCTAAGATGCTATCTTCTATTAGAACAACCTTCGGTCGTTTACATTTTCTTTTTTTACAAGATTTTGTTGTTGTTGTGGGAGGGGGTGTGGAGAGCTTTCAGATGGTTTCTTCAACAGGCATAGACGGTCCAGAGCAAAATTTAAAGTAAACAGGATTAAAGGCTCTGATGTTTTAGGCTTAGCTGCTCATCTCACCAGTGTGCCTTGAGAACACAAAGGATGCTTTCAAGTCACATAAACCCAATCTTATTCAAGTTACCTTGAAACTAAAGTACCATTGATTTCAATGGATTTATTCCCAAGGAAGTGTGCTTAGGATTACAGTTCTGCAGCCTGATCAAGTCTGTGTTGACTGAGAAGTAAATTCTACTGAATTCACCCGGAGTAAGGCCTGTCCTGCCGGCAGCAGAATGGGTTGGGAAAGATGCAGAGGCAACCTGGAATGGTGGAACCAACCCTGCCACTTTAGACTGGAGGCACAGAATTCTATTTTTTGCACACAACCTGCCCCCCCCCCCCGAAACCAACAATTAGAACAGTAGCACAACGGGGACTGGACGGGGCTAGAAAAGCTAGAGTTGTGCGTTAAGATGTGTTTCTGGCTCTGATTCTAAATGAGCTGCGCCAGGATCCTCATAGGAAGGGAAAGAGCTAAGAGGACTTCTGTGGCAAGATTTTGATCCTTCTGCAAGGTGCAAAGATGGGATGGCTCTCTTCAAAACTCCAGCATAAAAGAGGATGCAGAAGCTCAGCAAGGAGCAAGAGCAAAGGCTGGGAAAACATTCTGGGTCTTCTGAGCAGCCAAACATGCTGCCATTCTCTGAGCACGCAGCATCGGGTCATCCAAACTACACGCGTGCTTATAACGTGCTTTATAGGTGATGACCTATAAAGCCCTAAACGGCTTGGGTCCTGGTTACCTGAAGGAGCGCTTACGTCCATATATGCCCAGCCGCCCCTTGAGATCAGCGGGAGAGGCCCTCCTCCGGGAGCCCTCAGTGAAGGAAATTAGGAGGGTGGCTCCTCAGAGGAGGGCTTTCTCAGCGGTGGCGCCTAAGTTATGGAATGCGCTCCCCAGAGAGGTCCGCCTGGCGCCGTCGTTATTTGTTTTTCGGCGCCAGGCGAAGACCTTTTTATTTAAGCAGCATTTTAAATGTTAATATTACTGAATTTTATTCGGCCAGGGCGGCTTATTTTATTTTACTGTATATATTTTAATTGTTATTGTTTTAATGTATTTTGTATTTTATTTGATGTTGTAAGCCGCCCCGAGGCCTCGGCAAGGGGCGGCATAGAAATGTTTTAATAAATAAAATAATGTGCAATCCAGAATGGAAGCCTTACTTGGTTGTACGCCAAGAGCAATATCCACTAGGGTAGACATCCAAACAACGTCCAACCACCAAAGACACCGCTGCCCTCTAGCCAATTCTCTGCCCTGCCTGGGATTCAGTGACCTGATCTGTCTGTGTGACCCGAGACGAGCGGCAAAAACCGGGAGACTCATTTGGCCCCTGCTTGGACTGAACACCATCCACGGCTGCAGAGCTGCCTTTGTTTAGTGGGCTGCACCTGGCGCAGGCCGGCCATTAATTATCTGGCGTGAGGGATTTAATGGACTCCGTATCGACTGATACTGCATCTGCCCCACAAGGAACTCAAGGGACGTGCCCCCGCTTTCGGCCTTGCAACCCCTGCCCCGAGGGCTCGGCTGAGAGTGGGGCACTGGTCCAGGTTGCCCAGAGACCCTCATGGCCGGGCGGGGGTGTGATTCTGGGTCTCCCCAGCCCGGGTCTGCCACTCATCCTAACACCGCGGGGGTGCTCCCTGCGGGCCACAGCCTCGCCTGGGACTTCTGCTTGCTGTCCCTTCCGGACGGCCCCAGAGGAGTGGTGTGTCTCAATGCTGTCCTTTAACGAGCTTCCTGCCACCCGTCGCTGGCTATAAATCTCCCCCGCTTCGAGCAGGCAGTTTATCTCCAGCTTCGGCTGCAGCGCTGCATTGAGGCTTTGCAGAAGGTGCGGGTCAGACCTGCCTTTTCATGCCTGTCCTCCAGACAAGGAGCGTGAGGAGGGAGGGGAGAGAGCTGTCTATGCGCCGTGCATAGGAATCTTAACAGCATTAGCTCAGTAAAATGCCAGGGCATTCATACATTTCAAATCGCAGGGGAATGAAACCTGATTTACTAACACTTGTTAGAAGTGAATTTATACTGGGGCGAAAATATAAATCCTTTCCTTGGATGCGGAATTGCTGAGTCTTCTGAAAAGGGAGGAGGGGGAGGCGGCCCCTGGTGGGGGGGCCTTTCGTTCTGCCCTGCCTTGTGCCGACAGTGCGGCGTCACAGAGGGAGAGGAGCCCCGCCGTCTGCGGCACCCACGCGCTGCAGGTCCGGGGAAAAGCTCGGCTTGCAGCATCGGGGAGTTAATGGCTTTGTCACAGATGCTTGCAGGTTACCAAAGCGGCAGACACCCTGGCCGCACTTGAAAGGACTCCGTGTCTCGGGAGGAGAGGGCACAAAATTGATTTGAAAAGCTCTCGAAGCAGAGTTCAGGCGCCGAGTGATGCATATTTAAGCACCCCCGCAGCAGACCTGGGAGTCCAGGCTCCAAGGAGCAGGTGGTGGCTTTGGCTGGCATTAGAAAAAGGTCTGAGGGCTGAGAATTCACCGAGGGAGCAGATGCACCGCCTGGCAGCAGGCTGGCATTATCTGGGGCAGCCCGGAAACTTGGGCACCTGGGTTTGGGCACACCACACAAAACTCCTCCTCATGTAATGGCCCACGGGTTCATTGGGTAGTGCTTAGGATGAAAGGACTGGACCGAGAAGAGTGAGCAGGCGCTGAGGTGGATGCAAACATTTTCCAGCTGTAGGATGCTATCTAGTGACCTCATGCCCCAGGAAGGGCAGAGCTGCCGCCTTTCACACCCGAGGGGGTTCAGGGCAGCCACACCGATGCCTTTCCCTTGTTTTCGTTCCCCCCTTGGCACGCGCGCCATCTCCTGTTGGAACCCTTCCAGAGGCACCCACCTTAGCCCGCTCTGCTATACATGCAGCAAAACAGATCTGCAGAATGCAGGGCACCCTCTCACCCTGCGAGCGGGACAGTCGCCTTTTTGCTTTCCCAGTTCCCTGCAAAAAGAAGCCTGGCGGAGCAGGCCGAGGGTGGAGTGACGGCGTTCCTTCCCCTGTCTTTCCATTGCCCGCATTGGACTGCCCACACCCCAACGAAGAAAAGGGGCGAGGGCAAGTGGGGAGATGGATTTAGGCTGCAATCTTTGGCTTTCTGGGGCTTTTCGGGCGTCCCACACGGGCAGCGGGGCAGTGCTCGGTGTAGGATGGAAGGCATCTCACCTGAGCTGCAGCTCCGGTATTTCTTGGTCTGGCTGTGCAAGATCAGGGCAAACACCACCAGCAGTATGACCAGAAGGGAGCACAGTGCCATCACAAGCAGGAACCACCACTCTTCATAGAAAGGGGACTCAGTGTGAGCTGCAGAGGGAAGAACGGACCAGACACGGCGTTAGGCATCCAGAGGGCCGGGAACAGAAACCCTTGCCCGCTGCGTCCCTACAACCACCCAGGCGTCCTTTGCATGCAAGGGGGAGTTTCTTGGAGGTCAAGGGAAAGAGGAGCTAAGAAAGATAATACTGAGTCTAGGCGAGAGATTCAAAGGGAAGGCGAGCCCTCCTGGATCAGCCTGGGGCTTAACTAGCCCAGCGCTCAGCCGGAGGCCTGCAGGAAGCCGGGAGTGGGAGATGAGCAGAACAGTTACGCTGCCACATGGGCTCCCAAGCAGCCGCCTGGGATAATAGACTGCCAACAGATGTCTGGATATGCCGGCTATGCCAGCAAAGCTTCCAGGCCTAGACTGTTTGTTTCATTTTTATACCACCCAATGGCCAAGGCTCTCGGCTAACCACCGTTCATTAACTTATATGCTGCTTTCCCACTAGATTGTGCCTGAAAAGCAGCTCAAAGCCTATCAAGTGACCATCAACAATTACACAGTTAAATAGGTGCAGTTATGAATAATGTTACATAATAAAAATAGCAATTCACCTGTAACATCTTCCAAAGAAAATGAGCTGGCCCAAATGGTTAAAACTAAACCGTGTCCTACAGAAATAGATTCACACAGAAGGACAAGTGTGTCTCCATACAGGACCAATGAGATCTCCGTTTCAGGATGGGGACATGGGGCTGTGTACAATGAACCTACACAGCGTTGTTGGCCGCCACACCCTCCCTGGTAGCAGACGTCATCCTAGTCTGGACTAGCGTCTTCTCTCTCAGTCCCTTCGTCATCTCCCCCCCGAAGAGGTAAAGTCTGCCGCATCTCCTTCAAGGCCTGCGTGGACCCACACCTTCACTATCCCTCGGTCCCTCTTGGCCGAGTCAATCCTCCCAACATGATATTCATTGCAGCACTGTTGTTCTAAGATCACGGCATGAAGCAAATGGAAACCCCGGCCTTGAGAACAAGCCAGGATCTGAAACCGCGGTTTGGTTGTGGCATGCTCCCTAACCATGGCTTAAACAAAGCTGGGCATCATCAGGAAAGACGGGCTGCTTCACAGCAACTGTCATTCTGTGAGTGGCCATCGGTGCATTCACACATATGGCCTCTGCACCTGTGCAGAACCTCGCTTTGGGGAGCGTCTGTGGCTGAGGAATTTGGGGCAAGAGTCCTCCCCGCCATTGCAGCATGCATGTTAGCAGGTTCCTTGGTGCAGGGGACACGGCCTAGTGTGGACTTGGAACCAAGAGGATTTCAGGGCCAGCCTCAGTACTGTTTGCAACACCAGCCCTCGGGCCCAAAGCTGGCACTGAAGTGGGGCACAGAGACCGCAGAAAGAACCGTGTTTGGCGTAAAGCAGAACACGACGGCCTCCGATCTCTTCTGGTGTGCACAGAGGAGCACGGGGAGGTGAGGGTTAATTCATGCGGTAGGGAGCCATGGTTTCCCAAGACCTCTGAACCAGGCTGATGTGTGCACTGGTGGGACAATGTTTTCCTCCTGACGGTGATGGGAAGCTCAGCTTTTGCAGACTGCCTTGGTGAAGGACTCCATATGGCAGGGAGGCTTGACGTCTTCGGGACAGGACGACGAATGAGAAGGGAAAGCGATTTGGACAGCCTGTTCCTGGTACCTTCCTATTAGAAGACGCACATTTTGGTTTTCGGCTGAGTGCTCCGGTTCTAATGCAAATGCGCTTTGCTCAAGGAGGTGGGCTAGCGATGCTTGCGCTCTGCTTTGGATGCTTCCCGAGAACAGGAAGCGCCGGCAAGCCACGCTTCCGCTTTCTCCTGCAGGACACGAAGCCCGGAGCCCCCCAAATAACCATTTACCATCTGCCGAGAATCTGACAAGAACCAGTGCGTCATCTCGTCAGCAGTGGCTGAGCTCAGCCATGGCACTGGAAGTGATGGGCAACACCGGGCACTGGTTTAGATGGGTTGCCGGGCCCCTTGAGCCCCAGATCCTCCTCCTGAGCAAGGTGAGCCTTGCGGTGCGTCGCACCTCTCACTGCCATAACTCCTAACTGAACCCTTCTGCCTTTTTGTGGCTGGTCTGAAGAAAGCACTGGAGCGTCACCAGAACGTGGACTGAAGAGTTCTGCTTAAGTGGAGAACATATAACTGAGCAATTTATTGACAAGGAGTTGCACGAATAGCTGGGAGGCAGCTCAAAAGAAGGTGGCATTTGCAGCAATGGCTGCAAAGCATCTCTCAGGGTACAAGGACAGGTGGGGGCCGCTGAAGCAGCTGTCCTGGCACCCGCCCCCTCCTGCCGGAGGGGGGATGCAAGAATCAGAGCGTCCCTCTGGAGTGGGAGGCCTCCGTCCTGCAGGGACGGAGCAGCACATGAAGGTGACGGCAAAGATGGCGTTTCATTTCTACGTCTTGATTATACCTCTGCTAAATTGCAGCTGAGTGTCTCACACCGGGAGCAAAGAGAGGGAGAGAATTAAAAGAGGGAGAGGTAAAGAGAAGAGCTGGAATCTCCCCTTAGGTATCAAACTTTTGAACCACGAAGGCTTGGGTTGTTATTGTTTTTTTCCCTTTGAAATGATTTTTCCATCTTCCGCTTTTGCTGAAGCAGCAAAACCGATCCAAGAACTGCCTCCCTGAAGCAAGTCAGAGCAAGGTTCTTAGCGAGTACAAAGCAAGATGTAGGCATTGCGTCTCACGGGACTTTGGCATGCACAAGAGGAGACCAGTGGCTGCCTCTGAGGAGTCCTGCTTCCCTTGGTGGAACGCACCCATGCAAGCGAATTTTCCTTTATCACTGGAGTGGAAACCCCAACCTTGGAGGGCCTCCCTTGCCCCGTGCCGGCCAGCTGAAGTCCCTCCCATCTCCAATTCATTTGGACTGTCCCTACCCCCTTTTCCGGGGTCTGCCTCATCATGAGCAACCCTGCAGGGCATATCAGGTCCATAAAGGCTTCCCGAGCAGCCCACCAAGATGCAGCTCCATTTCTCCCCCTGGACATTACCTTTGGGGTGAGCCACTGTGGCCTGGCCAGCATTTTTTCCCTTCAGCACAGGTGGTGTGGACCCTGTGGGATGGACCAGGAATGGGGCAGAGGGGCAAAGGCCTCCTTGCTCTACCTATTGTGTGGAGTTGCTTATCACCTTTCCTCCCAGGCACTGTGGCTTGGCTTCCCCACATTTTATCCTTCGGGCTATTGGGCAGGATAGAAATTTAAGTAATAGCGATAGATAAACATCGTCACAAGAATCCTGGCAGGTAGGCCAGGTCAAGAGGGCATGCCTGGCCCAAGGTCACGCTGAGCTTCATGGCGGGGCAAAAATTTGCACTGGGGTCTCCTCCACCTTCCTCTACTTTGGACCGGTCTCTCCCAAAGCCAGCTTCCCTTTGGAAGGTCCATTTGCACCTGTCTGTCTGTCCAATTCAGCCCCAAGAAGTGGCTTATTCCAAGACAGTCTGGAAGAGAGAAGAGGGGGCAAGACCAGAGAAATGCTTCCCTACTTGGAGACACATGTAAGTGGGAGGGGAAATGGGCCTGGGCATTTTGCCAGACATTCTCTTGGGCCTTGGGGCGGAGCATTCCAACTGCTTGGATAGACTGTGAAAAAGAAAATTCTTGGAAAATTGAGACCCACGAAAGACGTGAGCTCAGGGAACATGCCTAGTACTGTCTCAGGGAGTCCCTCTTCAGCTTGATTCGGCAGATGCGGGAGACCAAATGAGGGAACCTGTGCGCAGGAAAGACGCGCTCCGTCGTGACGGCCTCTGGGCAGGCTGCCATCAGTACCCCTCCCTCACACGCGGGATGGTTCAAAGCCACGAGTGCACGCGGGGCGAAGTGCGTGTGTGAGCCAGCACAGCTGCTTCTGTGCAGGGGGCTGTCGGAAGCTGGTTTGTGTCAGCACTGACTCATCCAGGCCAGCAGGGACAGGCAGCAGCTCTGGCCAGGGCTTCGGACGAGGGCCTTCTCCAGGCCTCCCTGGAAGGTCCCGCGGCCATCCTGGGGCCTCTGGCAAGCAAGCAGCTGCTTTATCCCGGGGCTGCTCCGGCTCATGAGCAGTGGAGGGAGGGCCAGGAGGAAAGGCGGTGGAGGGGTCCACAGGAGGCCGACTGAGGGATACGGTGGCTGTGCCTCTTGAGGTGGGGGGAGGGAGCCCAAGGAGATGGTGTACGAAAGCAGGCAGGAGAGGAAGGAGTTGCCGCTAGGCCTTGATGTAAGGATGGTAAACAGGGCCAGGAATGGGGCCAAGGAAACCACCGGCCAATGGCACGGCTCGTGTGAGTGAGGGCCGTTCACTTCCAGCGAGGTTGCGTGGGCAGATTTGTCGTGGGAAGGGTCTCTGTCCTTGGGCAAAGCGGTGCCCATGCATTGACCCTTGCGTGGTGGAGACGCGCGAAAGAGAGCCATGCAGGGCCCTGAAGGTGTCCCATCCCCTCTCTCAGTTGGCGGAACAGGCTCCCTGCTTCTGGCGGAAGAAGCAATGCTGTTTCGTGCCTCGGTCCCTACAGGGTCGTCCTCCACCAGTAAGTGCCCTGCCAGAGACTTGGGGAAAGCGCTGAGCGCAAGCCACCCACCTGACACTGCGACGGACGGCGCGCTGGGTTCTCCATAGCCGAGGTCATTCACTGCCACCACCCGGAACACGTAGCTCACGCCCTGCTTCAGCCTGTCCAGGCCGACCGTGTAGGACGTGGCACTGCGGGGAATGTCCTTCACAAACAGGTCCCACAGGCCTTCATCTGCAAAGGAAGCAAGCGGGGGGTTGTGGGGAGCATTCCTGACCCTTTCGCGCCAACCATCCTGCAGAGTGGAGCTTCGCCACCAGAAGGAATGCAGATGACCTTGTGCCGCCTGAGGACCCTGCCGATTGCTCGTGCACAAGGCCCCCCCACCCCGCCCCGTGAATGCGCTTGGCCTTCTTATTTAGAAAAGGAATATAGCAGAGGGTGGAGAATGTGCTTCGCACGCAGATGGCTCAAGCCGAGTTTCTGGCATCTCCAGGTAAAAGGACCGGGAAAAGAATGCCAGAGAGCTGCTGATCGGATGAGCCAGAGGTTGGACTACGAGATGACTTCCTTTATTCTCAGATCTTCAGATTCCTGGAGCTCAGCCTTTTTCTGTTGGCATGTGGACACAATCCTGCAGCACTGAAGCGAGGGCCAAGCTTCCTATTGCTACAGCAGCCCTGGTGGCTCGAAATGAAATGCGTGACATGTGCCATCCGGCACCTTGTCGCCTCTGGGCCCCTTGCTTGCTCCAGAAGACCATCTGGTGAAGAGGCCCTTGAGATGAGGATCTCACGCCTCTCCTGGAGCTTTTGCTGACACCAGATTTCAGGGGAGCAGCTCTTCCGCCTGTCCTGTGCCAGGTACACTGACTGAAAAGCACCTCAGAGGATCGGGTTGGCAGCCCCTGAGTACATCGAATATATCTGGTTGGCTGAAAACATGCCGCTGAAGCCGCCTTTTTCAGGTTGCAGGATAATGAATCAAAGCCTGTAATTTCACTATTGGAAAAACAGGGCAGGTTGCTCTTTGGCGAGCAACAGAACATCACCATTTGCACATGAGAATGCATTCGTTAAAGGATATCAAGGATTATATAAAAGTCTTTCGACATACTAATTTTGCAATAGAAGAGGGAACGCCTAGAGTTTCATCTGCTTGAAAAAGAGAGATCCCTCTCCTGCGACAGAGAAGATAGCTCCGAGTACATAAAAGCAAATAAACGCTTTATTTTATTCTGTACAACATCCCTGTAATAGACGGGGTTCTCTCAGTTAGCGAACGCCAAGGAGAATTTCAATTTCGTGCCTGCCTGTATCTTTTGCTGCCTATTTTGGCATTGTGGTCCTCTCCAAAGACAAAGGGTGGGTCCTTTATGCTTGGTCTCCCTCGCTGAGTCTCTCCACAAAAATCCCTCAAAGCAAGGAGAGGCAGAATAGCTGCATGATGCCTTGTGAGTAGGAGTCCTTTGCTGAGATGCAGCCCCCAAGCTCCACTAGTGGGCCCCATAAGTAAAGCACATGGGAAGGACAGCCACTGCCCAACTAGGCCTTTCCACTCTCATTGAGTGGGGAAACCTCCTCACAGCCGGGCTGACTCTTGACCTAAAGCGCCTCTTCTCTTTAGACTGCTCTCAAAAGCCACTTCGGGGAGCCCTTTGGACTGCCATCTTTGTGGTCCAGGCGATGGGTCCTTTCCAATTCCCGATAAGTTCTTTGGGGGTTATGCACACCTGTGGTGCTTCGTTAAATCGAGCCAGGCCATGTTGGTCTGCCCTCCAGCACTTCTCCCCCATCACCTGCTCCCTGCAGAGGCGGCGTGCAGAGGTAGCCCACTAGGGTGATAAGCCTCAAGTCCTTCACTGGGTCTCCAGGAGCCCCCCGTCCTGGCCGGTGTTTGGCCCACATGGGCTTCATCTCCTGCCCCCCCCCCACTGAAATCCCCCTGCTTCAGCTTTCTTCAGAAAGCAAACGCCCTCCTGTCCGTTGTCCGCACAATTCTTTTTGCAAATGGGGTGTCCTTTGCAGAGAGGACCTTCGGCGCGTGTGCACGCACAATGTTTAGAATGTATATAAGTTGCCACACACAGATGTGTGTGTGTGTGTGTGTGTGTGTGTGTGTGTGTGTGTGTGGTGGGGGGATGGTCCCGTGGGCAGAGCCCTGGATTGTTCCAGTATCCAGCAGTGTTTCTGGGCAGCCCTGAGACTCGTTTTCAGTGGGCGGGGCTTAGATCTCACAGGAAGCAATGATAAAGAAGAGGATGGCTGTGAGCCAGGATGCCTTGCACCTGACTACAAGGGGACTATAAGGGAAGAATGTCTGTTCAGAGGTAGAGCCAGAGTCGAACCCAGCAGGTTACAGGCAGAGCTTGGCCTAATCTAGTTTCCTTGCTCCCATTCCTGGGAGGACAGAGATCTAGCCACCGACTGGGTTCACACAACACAACACTCCAAACTCAAAGTTGAGCTGGCTTGCCATTGAACCATGTGTTCTTGTGTTGTGTGAGCCCAACTGCACTGACCAATTGTGGTTGGTGAATTGTAACAACCCACAGTTCACAACCCCACAACAAACCATGGATTGTCCGTTGTTAACAAACCCCGGTTTGTTAGCACGGCTAGGCTCAGACTCACACGACACAGCAACCCATGGCTCAGTGGCCAGACACATTCAACCCCAATACGGGCTGTATCAGCAGGATGTCTCAGTGGTGCGGTTTGGGTTACAGTCGGAGAGCTTTGTAGGTGTGTGCGCGCAGTCACGTGCATGTGTATTCAGGCACACCCACGCGTGAATTATTTAGCTGCTTCCCCTAGGGAAAAAAATGCATTTGGCCATCTCTTCTCCCATTGCATGGGTAACCCGCACATCAGAGCTGGGTGTCAAAATGGTTCTTTTTCTTTTTTTTTTTTTGAATAAGTTTTATTCTAAATAAGCCTAATACAAACTAAAAACAACATCAGTCTTCAGAAACATCGGACCTGCTGGGTCAGCCCCCACATTTTTTCTTTTTATGTTAACTTATAAACATATTTAAATCTATGCGAAGCCCCGTTTCTCTAGCCAATAATAAAAAGAGTCCCAGGTTTGATAGAAGTAAAATGGTTCTTGATTTCTGGGCGGCATTTTTCATGGTGCTAATGGGAACTTTCTAATCATAATACGGTATTACTTTCCATAACACTGACTTTGCCTCCTCCAGATTGGTTGCTCAAAAAGGCCAGAAAATGCATCTGGAGAGGGGAATTTCCCGAGTCAGAGCGAGTGGAGCCTGCCTTTGGCATTGACCCGGGATCCTTGGTGAGCGGCCCCCTTTTGCCGGCGCCTGGGTGGGAGCCTCACAGGCAGAGAACTGAGACGTGAATTGATCGTTTCGAGTGCGGAGAGAAAGAAACCGTGCCTTGCTAAATCGCACACCCCCAAAACAGGCCAAGTCACTCCCCGTCAATTCTTGCTTAATGTACTGTGCGATGCAGCCCAGCTGGCTACGGGGTTACAAGAGGATTGCTCTCAATTGCTTTTTGCTTTGGAAACATCTGTCCCTTTCTTTCCATTCCTATTGCCTTGATTGGGCATGTGCATTTGGAAAAGAAAGGTAAAATATTGACCCTAAAAGGGAAATTGCTTCCTTGGGTTTTGTTTTTTTTAAAACATCGATGTTACGAATGCCCCACTGCTTCCTAATCCGTCTTGGTTACCTGTAAGCGGGATGTGGAGGAAGGCGCCCTTTTGTCTACCGGCTCTGAACCTTTTATCAGATCCTGGAGCGCATGCAAGGCATCGGCACCGAGGATGCTGACCGCTCCTACGTGGCGGCGTTTCTCTTGGCTCAGAAGACCTCCTGCTCGCGCCTGCACTTCATCCTTCGGTGGGGGCGAGCAGCCCTGCGCACTGCAGGTGTCAGAACAGACGCCGCACTAACGCAAGAGCGCGATTTCATGGGCAATTACCCAGGTGCTGTGGGCTGGATCAAGCTGTCCGTCAACCGGCGGCAGCTTCTGGGGCTGATGGCACACAGGCCGCTCGCAAACGCCCGCCACGTTCGAGCAGGGGCCGGATGGAAGCCTGCCACGCGTGGCTCCCGCCTGTAGCGCCAGCCGCTCTGCATCCTGCGCTGTGGGGGGACGAGGGGGGCGAGCGAGCTGGGTTATAAAAGACTGTCCTAATCGCATGCCAGTCAACACGGACAGCCGAGCGAGCAGAGGCTTCCCCCGGGCAGTGCCCGACGAGAACCAAATTAAAATGTTAATTTATTTTTAAGGAGAAAAGGTTGAGGTTATGGCACAGACTGGCAAAAGGACAGGGATGCGGAGCAGAGGCTGACAAACTGTTGGTGTGTGGCCTGCCATCCAGAGCACGGAGCAAAAGCAGAAAGCCGGGTGGCAGGGATGGGCCGGCAGCTGCAGACTTCGCTTTGAGTTTGTCAGCTTCCACTGGTTTCTGTCTGTGCTCAAGATGGAATGAACAAGAGCAATGAAAACGCAACTTGAGGGGGCAGGGAGGGGGCTGAGATGTTGCTTCTTGGAAGCCTGGGTGCTAATCTCCCAAACTGTCATCTTTTCAGTGGAAGAACACAATCCAGCCTGCATGCCCATGTCCGTATTTATGGAGGACTCAAACTTGCTGCTGTTGCTGCTGGGGTCATTCTGACACCCCCCCCCCCTTGATACTGCTTGGTCTCTGCTGGACTGTGGAGGTTGCTCTGGGTGTTTGAGGCACACCTGGACATTGATCCTAGATGAGGCACTGTGGAAACAGACACGTTTCCCTGATTGCCGCTTCACTTCAGTAGCGGAGTTCATGATCTAGAGACGTAATTGGGCTGTTTCTGGTGAAACAATAGCTTTTAAAAGCACAACTGGCTGTTTATATCTAGTAAAGAATGAGCTGGTTTGGCCTATACGGTATGAGCCCCCTTCTGTCTGCCCTCTTTCAATGCCCTCCAGCTCCTGGAGGAGGAATAAATGGAGATGAAGGAGGAGGAGAAAAAATCCAAGGAAGCTACAGCCTTGATCTCACAAGCGCTGAGCAGGACAGTCAAGGTCAGGCCATGTATGGAATTCACTCCCCAAAGAGGTCCGCCTGGCACCGTCGTTACTGGTTTTTCGGCGCCAGGTAAAGACCTTTTTATTTAAACATCATTTTAATGGTTAAAATATATGATCTGGCCAGGGCAACTTCCTCTTCCTTCTCTTTCCTCCTCCTATATTCTTTATTTACTTATTTTATACTGTTAATTTTAATTTTATATTCTTGTATCTCAGTGTATTTTTTGTATTTCTGTATTTATTGGTAATTTATTAGGTTCTATTGTATTTCAATGTATCGTATTGTGTTGTAAGCCGCCCCGAGGCTTCGGCAAGGGGCGGCATAGAAATGTTATAATGATGATGATGATGATGATGATGATGATGATGATGATGATGATGTGGCAGCTGTGCACCGCTAGGGTCCCCTTGCGTCGGAGGCAGCTTGATGGCACCACCACCACCAACCTACTGATCCAGTGTGTCCTCACTGTCGCCAAGCAGCGGCAGGCCAACTGGTGCTCCTCAGGGGCTGGGCCTTCCCAGCCTGGACCTGGCGGCAGTTCTCTTCTCTGGGCTGCGGCTGACTGGTGGCGGGAAGTAAAACCGGTGTGGGCACTAACCCTCAGACACTCCGTGGTTGTTTATTTCTGTTCAAATGCGTTGTTGTCCAGCCAGACTCTCTGGTGCACACACGGTTTAAAAGAAGGCACTGGTGTTGCATGAAGCTGTTCAGACAGGTAAGTGGAAAGATCCCTTTGAACGTTTCACAGTGCATTTTAATTCCTTGGCCGAGAGCTACGACAGCAGGAGGAGAGCGGAGGGAAGGAGATAGAGGAAGGGAAAGAGAATGCGGCGTTTTGTGTTGAGGGTAATGAGCTCTATAACAGATGACAGCCGAGATGCAAAACTCGAAGGTGACGGTAAGCTGCTTGAATATTGGCAAAGCACGACCACTTTTCATTGGCCTATTAAGGCGTTGCGGTTGTGGTTGCAAAGACACGGAGATCCTCGTCTACCCTGCCACTGCAGCGGCCTTGTAGGGACACGGCTGGCTGAGGGTCACCAGCAGCCCCTTCCCAAAGGTCGCCGTCATCAACACCCCCCTGTCCAACCAGTGGGGTGCACGGTGCCTCCCCTCAAGGAAAGGAGCTGAGGAAAGGAGCTTCCTGCACGTCTGCGGCTGAGCTCTGAGTCCAGAGGGAAACCTCTCCAAAGCTCAGGAGGAAGAAAACGGAGCGAGATACGGAGTCTTTTAATGAAGCCGGAGCGTGCGTGAAATAAGCCTGCGTTCCAATTACTGTCCTCCCCTTTGCCTGGATCGTATTTCACGCTCTCTGCAGATTCCACCCAAAGAGAAAATAGGAACGGGAGGCACACAAATGGCCCCGTTTGTTTATTACAGCAGCACTGAATAGGATTAAAATAATCTGCGCAGGAATTAAATGACTCAGTAGTTAAGGCCCGGCAAGCAGAGGTGGCGAGGGGCAGAGGGGGGCCAGGCTGCCCAAAGCCACGTTGGTGCAGCTGAAGCCTCCGTGGGAGCCCCCTCGGCCCAACCCACGACCTGCTGGCAGGTGCCATGCCGGAAGTCGGCTCTGCACCCCTGTGCCGCTTCAGCTGCGCGGCCTCTCTTCAACAAGTGGGTTTTGGAGGCGGCCGCCTAGGCAGGGCCAGCTCAGTGGGGGCTGGTTCTGAGGCAGACCCTGCGGGAGCTCAGTCCCTGTCCCTGGCGGCAGAGTCCTCACGTGGGCCCAATCCACTGGAGGTGGATGCATTGCATTCATTTTGTATGATGGATGCCCTATCCTTGTTTTAGGGAAACTGTTAATTTATCAAAAGGAGAATGTTTAGATAGGAAAAAACATGGTAAGCAGGATGCTCAGCCAGCCAGACTGGGAGTTTTAGGATTTTTTCCCCCCTTACGTAACACTGAATAGGATTATATGGCGTAGAAGGTTTCCTGCTCTGGAAATGCATAGAATCGCACCTTAAATGGATGGAAAAAGTTACTTAAAATGACTACTCCTTCTTTCTGGAAGCTGCAATCCCTGAAGAATAAGCACATTTCATTAACTTTGTTGTGGAAACTTTTATCAGGGCCATATTGTGAAAATTACAGAAAATAATGGAGTAACAGAGATGAGCAATGGAATGGAAAAACTTCCATCCTCAGCAAAAATGGGAATTTGTAGCCGTAGGAGATCTTTTGTTTGAATGACTTTGAGAGAAACATGCAAAATGCTCCAGAAGTCTTCCGAGATGGCAATTAATGTGGGCTGGGGGGGGGGGGAGCGAGGGGGGAACAAACCAGTTCTTTCCCAGGATTGCCGATCAGCGAGGTACACAATGCTTAGCGAGGCCTTCCTAAATACGCAGCTTTGGAAGACCGCAGTTGTGTGTGTGTGTGTGTGTGTGTGTGTGGGGCAGACTCACACACTCCCCACAACTCATCCTCTCATTCTTGTTTCTTGGGTGGGGAAAGGAGAAAGATGCTGTCGAGGGGGGATGAGCAGCTTGGCAGGGAGTGAGGGGGCTCTGGAGCTGCACGCATTCCAAGAAGAAAACCCCTGATATAGAAAGAAGTCGCTCGCTCTGATGCTCAGCCCCGAAATTTAGCTTAAGCATGTTTTCACGCAGGCCAGAAATGGGCTGAGCAAGAGAAGATCCTGGAGCGGATGCTGCAATGCAGGTGTCAAACTTTGGGAGGAGGCAGGGCAGATGGTGATGGCGATGATGTGATTGTGATTGTATTTGTGGTGTTGTTGTATTTCTAACCCGTCGAACTACACGTCTCTGGACAGCCTATAATCATCATTCAATAAATACAACGTAGTAAAATCATCATCACCATAAGCCAACATAATAATGACAACCCACAACTGCAATAAAAACATGATTAAACTATTTAAACTTTAAAATACTGGGCAAATAAAAAGGTCTTGACCTGGTGCCCGAAAGCATATAACTGGTGCCAGGCAGAATAAACCTCGGTGGGAGAGCAGCGGGTTCAGGAGACCACAGAGAACCAAGGAGGAAAGCCAGTGTTTTGGGGTGGGGGGCAAGGAGGGTTTTGCCCCCCCCCACCCTTTCTCCTTGGCCCTGCGGATCCCACTGCTGCAGTCCCGAGGCAGCCCACAATTCACGCCGGCCGTGCTCCTACCTGACGGTCTGGTTTCTATGATGTAGCCAGTGGTGGGGTGGCTTCCTGGAACTCCCTCGGCCCAGTATAGCGTCAGTCCGGAGGCGGTTTTCGAAACCAGGACGTGCTGAGGGGAGCCGGGAGATCCTGGAGGGGCCAAAGCAAGGCAGCAGAGGTCAGGTGGGCCTTTCCTTAAGAAAAGATTGCTCACGTCACGCCTAATGACTTCAGAGACAAGGGAGCAAAAACCCAGCAAGCCTCTGCAGAGCCAGGAAGCCCAGTCCTGGCTGCGAAACCTGGAGAGGTGGGGGCTCCCCCACCCTACAGGCCTGGATAAGAACCTGGGCACCCCTCTGCGTGGGACGGAGTGACGTGGTGACCTGCAGCAGCAGCAGGTTGGCCCCGATGGCCTTCCTGGCCCCTTCCAACTCTGCTCCTCCATGAACTGACGGGCCTCTTTGGGTGACTGCTGCTAGATTCAAGGAAGGGCATTTGCCACCTCGTTGCCTAGGTAGGACTGGACCTCGGCTCGTTTGTACTGCAACCTTGTCATCCTTGTGGCGTGGGGACTTTAGGAGCTGTAATGCTCCTCGCGCTTTGGTGAAACGTCTATCAGACCATCAGGACAAAACTAATTACGCCTCCGTTGTCTGAGTTTCCTGACGGAGACCGTTTCTTTGATGGATCTCACTGGGCAGCAGGCTTCTCCCCTGTAGTTCCTCCAAGGTTGCTAAGTTTGGTTTCTGCTGCAGGTAAGCTGAAAGCCCAGATAAACTCTGTCCTGGGCTTGCCCAGCACGAGCGGCATATTGCTCTGTCTGCATTTGTGCAAAGTGCCGTCTAGCTCCTGATGGATCATAATAAACATTTTATTTTCCTGGCAGCTCCCTGGAGGTTTATCTGGCAGCCTTCTGGGGGTCCACCCCTTCCCTCCCCAAGACTAGCAAAGGCGGAATACATTACAGAAAAGGTAAACACTAATAATACTGGGAAATATGCCAAATTATACAGCTTCTGGAATTCAGCCCTTTTTGCCAGGGGTTCGGGGGTGGTGGTGGGGCTGAAACCCAAAAGCTCTAAGCAAGAAATACCCGTAATGAGGAACAAGCAAAATGTCAAAGAAAGACATTATTGTGCTGTGAAATCTGATTTTTCCCTAGGAGAATGAACAGAGCTACCTATGTTTTTTGAAAGCTTTTTGAGAAGACATTTCTTTTTAGAATTAATGCATATACGGCCTGAGCCTGCTGTGCAGAGACACCTCACAATCGTCACTGCCTGCTCAGAACTGCACCAAATCATGCCTTGCGGCTTAATTCTCCTTTCAAAAGGGGCATTTTGAATATGGTCGTTTCTGCTTGCTGCTGCAACGGACAACACGCTTCCTGCTTCATTTTGGCGCATCCCTTGTGACTCGCTTACCCTCCGCTGGCCCGGCCGTGACGTTGGCTTGCAGCTCCGGGCCATAGGCGAGGGTCCTGGCTTGCACGCGGAACAAGTAGGTCATCCCCTTAGTGAGGTCCCTGACTTTCAGCCACCGCTGCCAGTTTCCCTTGATGTCCACGGTCACCACTTTGCTCACCCCTGGAGCAGGCCGGCCAGATGGAAGAGAAGACAGCGTGTTAGTACTTGGAAGGAGAGCAGGAAGGAGCAGCGGAGCTTATCCAGTCTAGATTACTAGTAAAATTATCTAGTCGTTTGCAAAGGAAGAATTTCCTACAATTAGTGGGAATTTAAGTAGCAATAATGGCCAATTTTCAGCACAGATAAGTGTAATTAGACTTTAAGCTTGATAAGTGGGTACTGACAAGGGGGAAAAAACCTTGCAGTGCAATGGGGAAGTTACCAATTACTGAAAGTTACTGATTATACTGGGACAGGGGACAGAGGACGGTGCCCTGGACTTTTCCCAACCTGTCCCCATATGGCGCCTCAGGCCAATCTCACCATGAAATCACTCCTGGGAAAAAAGCTACATCAAGTCTCTCTTGACCACTGCCTCGTTTCTTTACGGCAAAACAACACAGATGTACATCTGCCAGTTCACTTTGGGCTCATGGTCTAAAATTCACTTTTAAACCTGCCAACCGCGGAAAAAAAATGAATGGAGTCCAATCAGGTGCCGAAGAGATCTTTAGAGACAAATATTCTCAAAGAAAGCTACCCTTAAGGAATCTCCTGAGAGACTAGCCTCTTTTAGCCCCTCTCCCTCACCCGTTTCCATTTTGCGCTGGCTATCAAAAAACCCAATAGCTTCTGGGACTGGCATCCAAGGGCTTACACCCCTCTTCCGCCGCATCCCCTTTCCTCGCTGTGTCACATCTTTTAGAGCCGATCTTTCTTCTGACACTAACAATGTGATTACTAATCGTGCTGCCGCTTTTGGAAATTAACCGCAGGACTGTGGAGGACAGAAGTCACTGGTGCTGCAGAAGGCGGGGAGGGGGGATGTGAGCATTTTCTCTGCAGTCGCAATCTTAGTAAAAAGCACACGCACCGCTCAGTGAGACCACGAGCAGCAGAGAAAATTCTCGAGTTAACACCCACGGGAGTGTGGGATGTTTTGCTAAGATTGCAGCTGGGGCGGAAAGGCTCGGCACCCGTGTTTCTGTGTGCTGCCATGCCAGGGATGACAGCCACCCCCTCACACACTTGTTTAGGTTTCAAAGAGACGGTTGCCATGACTAGCCGGGCTTTAGACTGTTGTCTTTGTTGCTGATCGTGAGTAAGGTACTCCAGATGTTTTGCAGCTGGAAAATGTGTTTAAATTTAGATACTAACAATCAAAATGTGAGTAAATTTAGATATTGAGGCTGGTTGTTTTTGGCAGAGCTGTCAACCATGATGGTTATGTGAAATATAGTAATACAGGCGAGCCACTAAAATATCTTGGCATTTATTACATGTTGAAAGTAGTTCAAAGGCACAGTTTGAAGTGATGCTCTCCCGGGGTGAGAGCATCACTTCAAGAGACCAGGGAGTCCACAGCTCAAGCACCTATCTTCCTACGGCCCAAAATAAGGACTGAGCCTGCAAGATTATTTAAGCCACAGTGGCCAGCAGTGGATGCTGGTGGCCACTTTGAATATTCGGCCCCCTGCAGGGGAAGCCAAGCTTTGTCCTCTGTACCTGGGCAGCAGGGGTTGTCTGAGGGCTAAACAACCCTCGAATAGCCTGTGGTTTGTTGAACGGACTGTCGCATGCAGCAGATCGGTTCCTCTGAGGCTTGAGGCAGTACTCTGACCTCGGAGGAGCAGGTCTGCTGTGGGACCTGTCCAGGCCCAGCTGCCGATAGGTGCAATGGGAAGCAGGCTGGAACTCCGCTCTTAGGAAGGGAGGAAGAGGGAGTCTTGGCCATGGATCGGCAGGATCCAGTGGCCACTCAGCTCCTTTCCCACCTGCATCCCTCTGAAGCAGAAGGAATGAATTAGGTGGGATCTTCAGGTGGACGGAGAAGCCACATGCAGCAGCCTTTGTCCTACCCAGGGCCGTCTTAGCGCATGGGCCTGATGGGCACTTGCCCGTGGGCCCCACACTAATCTGTGTATATTAACCCCTGGAAAATGGGAAAACTTCCAAAATTAACAGTAGTTGTAGTTGTCGTAGGGGCCCCAGTACACGGCTTTGCCTGGGGCCCATCATGCTGTTAACAGGGCCCCGGGCCTACCAGAGCCTGCTGGCAATCAGGCTGGGAGGCCATAGGATCGCACCGAGTTTATCTACATACTGCATTTATTGATGCCTCATAGAACTCTCTAGGCATTGTCGAAACGTTTTAAAAAATAATTACAGCAGGATAAAACCGCAATAACGCGGTAAAATCCAGTTCTGTGTAGAATCCAATCACACACCTATCAACACGGCAGGATAAGATACAACCTAAGCTAAATCAATCACCAGGTAGGGAAAGCAAACTACACTAAAAGGATTAAAATAATGATGCGTTAAAAGCCAGGGAGCACAGAAAAATCCGACCTTGGCACCGAAAAGACAACAAAATCCTCATCAAATAGCGCTCCGAAGGGACAGCACCAGCAACATTACTGGCTTAACATTAATATTGCTGTGATTAATATTAATAGTGTGAATATTCGCCTTACTTATTTATAATTCTTTTATACCATTTAATACATTACATTCCTTAGCAAGATCCCCTACCTCATGAATGTTAACAGTAACATTATTCCCCTAAAATTCATCAGTGAGTGAATTTTTTCAAGGACTTGTCCATGATGAGAAAAAATATATTACTGTGCATATTAGAGCAAGGCCAAACATTCGGCCTCAGGGTCACCTGGGAGGGCGGCGCCACCTGGGGCTGAACCTGGGGCTGACCGGATGCTCTCCCCAGTCCTGCCGTGCGCCAGGTAGGGAAGCCAGCCACACATTCCCGTTCAGTGTAAACCGGGGCCTTTTCCCTTCCTGAGCTTGCTTAACCCCGTATCTGTTAGGCTCAAGGGTCTGCATTTGGAAACGACTCCCCTTGTTTCATTCTGCAAGACGCATTTAATGTGTCTCACCACATGATGTGGGTGCTCCAAAGGTGATGTTGCATTTGTGGAACAGGGGTTTGTTTAAAAACCTGTCTTTTCTATCCCTTTTAAAACACTCTCTAACAGTCTATTTGCATCGATGGCTGCTGTGTGACGTTAAGGTGATGTTTGTCTAGGAGAATGGTAAGCCTTGAATATCTTTCCTGGACAGTTCATTTTGAACCCAACAGTAGCTAGTCAGAAGAAACTTTCAGAGTGCGCTGCATCTGCCACACTATCATCCATCTCTTTAAGTTTATTACTAAGGTATATTAAAGATATTTATCTCAGCTTTTATTGGCTAAATCTAAAATATGAGTTTCCAAAGCAGTTTGGTTCAAATTTTCTTTTCAATTGCTCTTTTAGTTTAGAGACTTAGATCATTGTTCAATGCAGAAAAGACCCAACACAGGGAAATTACATTGGATGGCATTCATTTAACTTGTCCGAGACAAATCTTGAGATAAAGAAAACTCTCAAATAATGGACATTTCAAACTACTGCTATTATTTTAAGTGAGCTGTGAAAAATAGCTCCAGGGTTAGTCTGTCATCATTGACTACTAGACTGTGTGGGGAGAGAAGGCCTGATAAAAATTCAAGAATCTTTAAAAAGGGATTTGAAGTACAAGTCAACTGAAGTGAAAGAAGCAACAGAGGAATTCATGAGAGATTCTGATTTTCGAAGGGCACTTTGAGACTTGGGAAATGAGGGGCAAAAGCTGCAGGCAGATGGGGTATTTTTCTTAGCAGCCCAGAATCCCGGTAACTTCTTGAGTGCATGCAAGCACATCTGTGTTTCTATGTGCAGGCGCTTTCTCCATTTCTCTTGCATGTGTCCATTACAGCTCTTTGCACTGCATCAGAGATAACTTCCAAAACTTATGTGAATCATGGTAGCTTTCCGTCAGTTGGTTCGGGGTGCAGGAATGGCCACAGAGCACCAAAGAAGAGGAACTAAAGCATAAATCTACCCATAAAAGAAAAGCAACCGCATAGATGCGAGTGCAAATTTAGAAACAAAGACCATGATCTGAATAACGTGGGGATGCATCCCACCAAGACGGGGAAGCCTGCGGTAAAGGACTGGGGGGTCTGCGCTGCCTGCTGTCCAGGTGTCGTTGTGGCAGATCCAAGCCCTCTCCCAGCTCGCAGTTCTTTATCTTTACACTGGGCAGCTCTTCAAATAGCGGGACCTTCAAAGAGAGGACTGTTCTCTGTCAAAGACAACTGAGGACCACTCGAAAAGGATAAGTCTCCCTCCAATGTGTTCAGCTCTATGATCCCCTCGGAAAGAGCTGGGCAACCAAGACAGATGACACCTTTCCCATCTTACCCAGGTGGGCCCTCAGGATCATCTTGCTAGGTTATACCAATAATGACCGGAGGGCCCCAGTGAGTACACAGATCATTCTGGCTGTGCTCTCTCCAAATATCACCCATTGGCTGTCAAAAATCTGGCTTTGCCCAGGCAAGTTCATGTCTAAGAACAGAAGTTCCCTCACAAGCTTGCCTTTCCCGGGGCGCCATGCTTTCTCGCGATGTGTCCGAAGTAGGACAGATCACACAGTAGAATTATCCCAAAACATTTCAGACCTTTTTCCTTTTCGTGTCTCTTGATTAAAATTATACTCTGCTTCTGAGGCAGAGCTTCATGCTGAAGCTTTTGCCAGAGCTGAACAGCAAAGGTTCTTTTGTTCTCCTTCTTTTGCTTAGGAGTACAATGTGCTCAGTGCGCAAGCATGAGAATTCACAGCCTACAGGCAGCTTCCTCCCTCTCTTCTTCCCTACTCCCTGTCTGTATGAATAAAGAACCCACATGATACAAATGACTGATCCCCTCTTTCACTGAAACCAGCACGCATTTGCTGAAGTCAACGTCTAAGATCTGACCGGACCACTGGCAACCCACCAGAAACAGAAAAGGAACTGAACAACCAAAGAGCAAAAACTTTTAAGCTTTTCCAGATTTACCTTTCGAAGGGCTTTATATGCATTTGCAGGCATTATCAGGGCATTGTCCGCTGCTGTTTTGATAAATGAAGGTGTGATCCGAGACATGGTTAGACAGAAAAAAGGCCTACGGTTCCCAGCATGCCCAGCTGGTCAAAGAAAGCGGGCCGACAAAGCCTCCTTTGCTTTCTGAATCGGAGGGTCTAAGAACCTGGCTTTCTCTGGGGCTGCACCCACTGAATGGATGTCCACTCCAAAACTGGGGGTCTCTTCCAAAATAACTGATAGACAATGAATGGTGAATTCCACTCTTCTCAGAGCACTGCCCTACCTGGACATTCTTACCTTGGACTGGGGCCAGAGGCGCGTAAATCACTCGGTAGCCCTGCAGAATGCCGTTGGCTGCAGCCGGCTCCCCCCAGGACACGTTGAGCGTGGAGCAAGTAACTTCAGAGAACGCCAGGAAGCCGGGGGCGCTCGGGGCTGAAACGGGCATGGACAGCAGTGCCGGGGCTCAGTGCTACGCACATCCTCAACCTCCCCTTTCCCCATGAGGCGGCTTCCCAGGTATGTCTGGAGCCTGCAGGAGAAATCCTCTCCCACATATCTCTGACTGCCTTTTGCAGCGTTGGCCGCGCACAGCAGACCCTTCCCAACGAGCCGCTCCCCAAAAAGCAGGGCACGGCAGCAGTGCTTTAGATGTTGAAATCCAGCCCCCTGATCACGTCCGTATTTGGACTCTCTAGAAAGAAGGCGCCAAGGAGCCCTGGGCCTGCGAAGGCTTTTAGCATGCAGAACCATGAGTGGCGGCGGCGGCTCTGCTCCAGATCTTGCACGGTGTGTGTGGCCTCCACACGTGCAAAATGCAGGATCGGCCCAAGGAGGGCAGTGGGAGAGCGTCGCATCCAGTGGGGTCAAGTCCAGTGGACCTGGCTGGCATGGTCTCCCCGCCCACCACCCCCATGCAGCATTCCCTGTGCATGTCGGGAATTGCGGTCCAGCGCTTCCGAAAGGCACTGCACCTCGGAGGCCTGCCACACTGCTCCGCGACCGCACACGTGTTTGCATGCGGCTCGGGCGGCATGCTGCGGGTGGCACATTTCTGCGTCTATCGAGGGAGAGTTGGGAAAACGGCCGGCGTCGCAGGTCTCCGCCACGAATCGTTCCGGGCGGAATACTCGCCTCAAGATGCCCCGGCTGCTTTGTGGGAGCCGCGTGGTGCTGAGCTTCCCAAGACGTGTCCCCTGGGCACTCTGCCCTTTACAACACCGGGAGCACAAAGCTGCCCGGCCGAGGGAGTCGTCTTGCGCACGGGAGCTGGGCTCTTACCTGCCTGGTGCGTCCTGCCCTCTCCGGGTCGGCTCTTCGGCCCGTCCCCGGCCGCATTGAACGCCGAGATGCAGGCCAGGTACTTGGAGTAACTGGTGAGGTTCTTCAGCCGGATGCTCGTCTCCGGCAGGAAGAGGACTTTCACTTTCTCGGTATCATTCTGGCTGCCTTCCTCCCAGTAATAAACCTAAGTGGAGCGAGAGGGTCGGCTTTAGGGTGATTACCTCACCCTAAAGTCACTGTCCCCTTGCTGCTGCTTACCTTTCCTATAAATCAACAGGGGAGGGCCCTGTGGGGGGGGGGGCAGTGGGCACTCCTGGAATCCCAACAGCACGTTGTGGGCACTCTTACAAAATGGCTGCCACGATGGGGCAGTTGCCCATTCGCAAAATGGCAGCCATGCTGGGCATGGCCAGTCACAAAATATCTTTCCCAGGCAGCACGCTGTGGAGCTGAACAGAGAGCGACTTGTCCTGGACACAAGGCGGGGGTGGGTCCCCCTCCCCACTGCTGTGGCAGTGCAGATGCGGCTTTGGACTGGGAGTTGCTAAAACTCCCCAGCGGACGAGGAGGAACTCTTCTCCCTCTGGCAGTAGCAGAGCTTAGAGCCATCCCAGCGAACCTCAGGCCCGACCTGAGCAAGGCTGGCCAGCCGAAGGCATCTGCCGCTTCGAACGCCGCTAGCAGGGAAACCACAGCGATGCCCCCTCCCCGGCCGCACACGCGGACACTTGCCTTGTAGCCCTGTATGATCCCGTTCTGGCTGTCCACCGGAGGGGGGTCCCAGGTGACCTCCAGCTGGCTGGCAGAGAGTGCATTGATCTGGATGTTCTGCGGGGCCATCGCTGGTGCTGGAGAGAGAGTGGCGGGGGGAGGATTAGAAGGGGACGCCAAAGCCATGACCATGAGCAGCCCGGAGAGATCCTGAGGCAGGCTAGGGGCACACAAGCTGCCTCCCCAGAGCCTTTGCAAATCTGCCCCCCCCCCGCAAATGCATTCGGCGTTCGCAGCCCCCTTCTCCTCCCTGCTCTCATCTGTCTTCGTTGTCCGGCTTGAGGTGATCGACACCTCTCACTTCAAAGCTCATGCATTCGCTCAGCACAGTGCCACGTCGAGCTTGGAGGAGCTGGCAGTTCCGAGAAAGGACCATACCAGTTTTCTCCCCTGGAAAGTGCCCAGAGAACGGCCCAGAGCACCAAGGAGCAATTCCTTAGAGGCGGATTCATGGAAGGGCATGTAGTGTTTCAGTGCGGGTGCCCCCACAGCCGTGGCCGTGTCCTCTCCTGGACGTTTGCCAAGCATTCTAGAAGAGCTGGGGAACTCGGGGGTTTTAATTCGGCTGTTTCATTCTTCCGGTTCTGTCTGCTCAGGTTTGGACCATGGTCCCCGGTGCTTCCCAGTCCATCCGTTTCTTGGACGGAAACAAAAGCACACCTGCTGTCCTCGCCCACCCCCACAGTGCAGTGCTGGCCTCGGCTCGCTGGTGGGCAAGGACTTGACCTGGAGGACTTGCGCAGGACACGCCTGCCGGGGGCCCATACCAAGTGGGGGCCCACGGGCAAGAGCCCTCTCCTCACCATGGCTCCCCCCCAGCCCAGGCAACAGCGGCAGTGAACAGGGAAAGCGGGGGAGGCACTGCCCACTCTCTGCCTGGCGCGCTGCCCGCCCAGCAAGCGAATGGTGGCGGTGATGCGGAAGAGGCAGCGCGAGAGCTGCTGGGGAGCATGGTCATGAGAAGGGGGCTCAGTGCGGGTGGAGGACTGTGGTGGGCTTCCAGCCCGAGGCTCCTTGAGGGCTGTGTTTGTGCTGCACTCCATATGAGGGACCAATTGGGGTATGTGTGTGTGTGTGTGTGAGAGAGAGAGAGAGACGGAGGGAGAGAGAAGAAAATTAATTAGGTTTCTGTTTTGGATTGTGCGGGAACTTCCTGCACAAAGTTCCACGGGAACCTCTTTTGTTTGGATTGCTCTGCAGGGCTTCCATTCTTCGCTTCACAGCACCAGCAATTCAGCCCCCCCCCCCCCTTTCCTGATGCATTGCAGGGCTGCCTTCCACCACTGGCACAGTGCTCAGCCGAGAAGCCAGCCCCGTGCCTGGGTGCTGTCAGCGCAGACTGCACATGGGGACGCCCGTGACGGAAGGCGCTCCAAGCGAAAAACCTTAAAATCCCCTGGAAAGTCCAGTCCAGCCCGGCCCGGCACCCACAGAGATGCATCTTCATGCAAACGCGCTTCGGGTGGACAGCAACTGGGGCAATTGAGGCCAAGACCGTGGGCTCCTGTTCTGCCTCGTCCCCTGGAATGCATTTGCTACGGCATGGAAAAGACAAAGCTCTGGGAAGACTGGGGTGGGTGTCAGAAGCTGCCCTTCTCTGCCCCCCTGCGGAAATGTTTGTGGATGAGGTGGAGCAACATCAGAATAAACACTGGCTCACCAGAAAGTCTCCTGAAATGGTGCAATCCGGACCTGGAGGACAGGACTGTGCCCCCCCCCCCCCACTGCCCTCCGTGCAAGTCAGCCCCGTGCAAACAAAAAATCCCCCACCACTCTCCTCTTTCTCACGCCAGGTGCCTGCGCCAGCAACGGTGGCGGCGGCAGCTCCCAACTGAATGCTTTCAATTCAGTTTGCCCGGAGAATGCCCACCCATCCATCCCTAATCTCCTGACAGATGTATTAGAAAGAAACTTATTCCAATGCCAAATTAAATATCAGGGATTCTGCTGCCACATCTTCAAGAGTGCAAAGACAGAACAGCTAGTTAATGGAGCCGTTGGCTTTCGGACGGCGGCGTTGTCCGGCACGTCGCACTCAAGGGTTTCTCGGCGGACGGCACCCCAACCATCTGGAGGCTCTTGCTCTGCCCAGCATCTGTCGTGCCAAGAGCGTGGCACCGTTGGGGTGGGGATCCTGGGGAGCTCTGGGTTACGGGGCTCTGCTATGTATTGGGGGTTACCAAGGTGTGGGTTGAGTCAGGCTGCTCCGGGCTCGGGACAGCGCCATGGAGAGCATCCAGCGCTGCTGAGGCTGGGAGCTGGGTGAGTCCGTCTGAGTGCTGCCCTGATACGGAGCGGACAGTGCGGGGTCTCGCCTGGCTCCAAGCGGCCACAAGTCTCATGTCTTGCCTGCCGATGGGACGGCGGCCACCTCTGCTCAAGGCGCTCGAGAGCAAAGCCTCATCGGTCTGTGCCCGTTGAACGGGCCACAAGTGGAAGGCGAACAGTGACTGCCGTCCACGGAAGAGGCAGGCCTGGTAATCGGTGAGCTCTTTCCTTGCAGCCTATGACCTTCATAAGCCACATCATTATATATTTATATCTCTTTACTCTCTTACTCTCTGGGCTTATAAAATAAAATAGTAATTAACACCTACTCAGCCTGACACCAACTATTTATTTTGTTCTAACTGTGCTGTTTCCATATTATCACTGCCCACCCTGCCGTTAATGGAAATGTTAATAACCAGCGCCAGGTTGTTGTGACAGATGCTTGGGCTCATTATCAGAAATTCTTATTTACCGCTCCATTAAACGACAGAATCACACACCCAAAAGGAAAAAAAAGGAAGAAAGGAAGAAAGAAAAGGAAAAGAGGAGAAACAATTCCACCACAGCCGACAGGAATAACTTTAAGAATGGCATCGATAATTCAAAACACTCATAAATTTAAAATTCGGTGCGTTTGCCATTGGCCGCTCCATTGCGAAATTATGGTGGCACAATTAAAAAGTGAAATGCAAACCCAAACCAGCCATTAGGCAACTGTTGTCAAACGACAGCAGCAGCGACAACAGTCAGGCGGACAAGTGAGGCCAAGTGCCTCACCGAACACACACGGAAACGCACATCGTGGCACAGAAGGAGTCCGTGTAGCTACAAAGGTCTCCTGTGGGTTTCATTAGAAGCGAGCTGATCGGCAGACCTCAGGCCGCCCGTCACCATATCACACCTGCCCTTTTAAGGGGAGTAGAGTGAATGCGCCTGCAGGAAGGGGACCTCATTGCATCAGGGTCCACTTGTGTCCCTCAGAAGATGCGCAGAAGCACCACGCCGAGGCGGGACACACGGAGGGCTGGAGCCGCATCCTGCCCTGCCCTGGTGTCCGGAAAGGGCTGCTCGGAGCAGCAATCAGAAAATCTGAGCCTCGTAACGAAAGGCTTGGTGAGTCTCTGCAAGAACCTCATTTCATTTGTTGTTCGTTTTCATCGGGGGTGTGGTGCGTCCCAGGGTCCCCGGCCTGCTGCAGCGTTGGCGTCACACTCTGGGGCTTGGTATGAGCTTCAGGCCTGGCCCAGGGAAGACCAACTGTCCAAACAGAGATGCTTTGGCTCCTCCTCGGAGGGCTGTTGACTCCAGAGGAGGACCATGCCACTACCACACAAGCCCAGGCTGGCTGTGTGTGCACACAACCCTGTGAGCAACAACCAGTGCAAGGATCGTCCGGGACTCGGCGGCACCTCTGCCAAAAACGGGTCCAGCCTTTGCATCCTCTTTCACTGAGTTGCAGACGGCGAAGCTGTAGCACCTCTCGCCAGCGACTAATGCGGAGAAGCTGCCAGCATTTCCACCCGTGTGTCAGCCAGCCTCACTGCAGACAACACCATGACTAAAGCGCCTTGGGCCGAAAGCACGCCCACGGTGGAGCGTGGCTGGCTGCAGTCCCAGCGGCGGCAAAAGCCTGCAGAATAGCTGTGGGCCAGGAACGCGGAACCCGACTTCCTGCACCCTGCTTTTCCTGCCAATTAAGCTGCATTGTTAGTTTGCATTTGCTATTTCGGCATCGGCTGAGTTTCCTCACACTGTTTGGCTCACAAACGCCCAGTACTTGTACTCTCTCTATACACCGTCGTCTTGGTGGATCCCCCAGGAAGTGCATGGAGGGGCCGTGCTTCAGGATTCTGTGTGGAAAGAGAAAGCCGTGCCAGTCGGGAAGAGTTCGGAGCAAGGACCCTAGAGGGGGATCCGGAGGCTGCCTTAGCAGGACAGATGGAACAGGGAAGTGTGGAAGAAGCACAGACCATCATCCCTGAGGAGGATTCCTGGGTGTGTGTGGTTTCCACAGAGTTTGTGCTGGAGAAATTTGTGGTGGGTGGTGACCGGGAAGGGGATGCTATTACTGGGAACTTCAACATTCTGGGCCTATGCCCATTGGGCACCAATCTGTACAGAATCTATATACGCTAAGTTATGTGGCTATATATGCAAATTCAGAAATAATTACCAGGATTTATTTCAATTGCACAGCTGGCAATGCCAGCCGATTAATTGTTCATCCAAATAATCTCAAATAAAATGCATTCTGCAATTAATATGCAGCCTGATCCAGAGCATCCCAAATCAATGGGGAAAGGGCTTTAAAAAAAGCTTAGTTGCCCTAATGGGAAAGATGCGAGGGAGGGGGGCTTGGAGCACGTGGGAATGGGGGCTTTCTCTATCTCTTGCCAGCTGCAATCCTGCTTGGAAACTGCCTCGCTTGTCAATAAAGTGGAGAAAAAGCACCTTTCCATCAGGGCCGATGGGGGCTCAGGGCTCTGTGAAACTGTTCCTGGCCCCAGACAGGACTGGGACATCGCAAGCTCAGATCCACCGACGTTGCCAGACCTTGGGTACTTTTCCTGGATGTATCTCCAGCAGCAACCTGCTTTTCTTCTTGACAGGCTCCAGGTTTGCTCTAGTCCTCATTTACATTTCCCATAATGCTCTAGAATGATGCCACATCAGGAGCATTGTGGGAAATTAAAATGGTGGTGAGGCCAGGGAAAAGAAAAAGGAATGAAGCCTCTGCCAGGATGCCAGAACCTGTCCAACGTCCAAGGATGGCAGCCCTGTCTCTTGAAAATCATAAGGGACCTGC